GGCTGTTTGACTCCAAATAACAATACTTAAATCTATTACTCATTAGAGGAAATGGATACAACGCAACAACAATGTTGCTGTAAGAATTTGGATCATTGCCAAAGGCTATCTGGCTGCAAGAGTTGGTGAAGACCTGGTACAAGCTTCTGTCTTCTACTTTCTATAATGGTCATGGTTGTAAGCACTTTCTCTCTCCTATTAAGGCCCCCCCCCAACACATGCATAAAACACTTTGTAAAAAGAGAGCCCAAGAGTCTCCCTGGGTTTTCTAATATTTTGCTGGTTAATATGCAAATTCCTGGTACAAAAGCAGCCTCAACAGCAGAGCCCTCTCTGAGGGGGCTCTCACCAAGACAAGATACAAGTATCAATCTCACTATTAGCAATAAACAATGTTGAAGGGCTCTTTACAACCACCATAAAACTCTTTGGGTCCAAGGCTACAAAAGCAACATTATTAGTAGTCCTGTTTCAGATACTGCAAACAGAGGTCAGTGCCAGAGGGAAACTGTTAAAGCTAAACAGTTCAGGTTGATTCCAGGAATGCGAAAAATTAACCTGAACAGAGCACTATGCTGAGGAACTGTTCCTCTAGTCCTGGTTTACTATTATGATGGAAGGTTGATAAGCATCAAATTCAAATTATTCTACTGCATTTATTTGTTACATAAATTTCATCTTTGATCAGGTACTGTGGAAAATTTACACAAAGTTTTCCCCCTAATGTTAATCCACACTTGGTTTTTCTGAGAAGAGAAAGCCTAATTTAACCTCTTTTTGGCACATTGCTAGATCTGGTTGAATAACATTTTATTTGGAATTTTTTGCATTTTTGTTCATGAATGAATTGACCTGTATAATTCCTTTCTCACAAATGCTTCCTCTGGTTTTGAAACCAAGTTTCTACTAGCCTTAATGAACGGACTGAGGGGTGTTTTCTAATTTTTTTTTTTTTTAAGTTCTCTGGAAGAGTTTTGTTTGTTTTTTTTTTTTTTTAAGATTTTATTTATTTATTTGACAGAGAGAGACAGAGAGAGATCACAAGCAGGCAGAGAGGCAGGCAGAGGGAGAGGGGGAAGCAGACTCCCCCCTGAGCAGAGAGCCAGATGCGGGGCTCGATCCCAGAACCCTGAGACCATGACCTGAGCCAAAGGCAGAGGCTTAACCCACTAAGCCACCCAGGTGCCCCTCTGGAAGAGTTTTTAATAGATTTTCTTTTTTTCATAAAAGTTAGATAGCAACTTTTATGAGACACTTTCAAACTTTTGATTTGATTTCCTTCATGGTTATCCTGTTACCCTTCTAGTTCTTGAATTGATCTTGGTAAATTTATATTTTCTTAACTTTTTAAAAATAACTTTTTGTTTATAATTTCTTTTTGTTTAATTTTTTTGTCTATACTGTGTTAAAGTTGCTTATCTCTTTAACCTCTGATATCTGTATCTATGTCCATGCTTTGGTCCTAATATTAATGCAATTACACTGAAAAAACAAAATGGCAACATAATCTTTATACATTTCACAGTGTGGGTATTCTTCCCCTGTGCCTGGATGAAAATTCTATCAACCCCATCTATATAAAGGATCTAATTAAGTTGAAAACACAGCTCAATTATTTGCATACTCAGTCCTAATATTAACAAAATTCTGAACTAGATGTACCTTAAAAAAAGTTTCCCTTTCTCCTCCTGAGGTTATTTTAGGTTGGAAAGTTGCAGTGGGACTGGGGGTCTTGATTCACTTTCTTTTTTGCCTTTCCAAGTGAGTGAACTGGGGCTTTATGCTTCAAGGGTCAGTATATAGAAAGGGAACATGAGATGTGTACAGGCTTTCTCTTACCTGAATTGGTTCCCCTTGAATTGGCATCTCCGCCTCTGGGCTTGAAGGATGATTCAGCCTGGCTCTCGGAAGGTGGCCCTGATTTCTGGATGTTTTAGGTGTTTTCTCATTTCCTCTTTCTCATATGCTCTTTCAAGATTCACTAAAACAAGAAATTTGTCCATTTTATTGCTTGCTTCAAAAACACACTTTGGGACCTCTTTTGAGTCTACTATAACTTTTTCTTTTTCCCTCTCTGAATGAGTTAACATATAAAGCATTCGGAACACCACCTAATTCAATAGATAAGCCTTATAAGTGGTTAACTCTTACAACCTACTAGGAAGTAAACTGTACCAGGGTCCCTTTTGTTCACGCTATGTTCTCAGTGCAGTTTTTGGCAAATAAAACAAACAACCCTGTGTATCTTTTGTGCCATTCTTCTTCTAAAGTCTTTTCATCTACTTCTTAAAGAGAATAGTTAACTAATTTTCATTTTTTTCGAAAATAAGATATTTACATCTATAAATTTCTCTACACAGATTTTGCTGCATCCTATAATTTTAAGAGACATTGTTTTTGGTTCACTTCTAAACATATTTTAATTTCTATTACTTTTTATAGAGATGTTATTTAGAAGTGTTTTTAAATTTCCAGATTTAGGGGATATTTTTATCTTTTATAGGTTTATAATCTTACTGTGGTGTGGTCAGAAAACACACTGACGGCGAGCTTGGATGGCTCAGTTGGTTAAGTGTCTGCCTTTGGCTTGGGTCATGATCCCAGGGATCTGGGACTAAGTCTCACATAAGGCACCTTGCTCAGCACGGAGCCTGCTTCTCCCTCTGCCTGTGGCTTCCCCTGCTTGTTCTCTCTCTAACAAATAAAATCTTAAAAAAAAGAACCCACTGATAAAACCACTTTTTTTCAATCCGTTTAAACTTACTTTATGATATGCTAGGTCTGTAATTTTCTTCAATGTATGCTACATTATGCATTCCCTGCTTATTTAATGCAGAGTTTTATAAGTGTCCACTTTGTTCTCAAACTCGTATTCTCAGGACCTCTGTAAACTCTTAAAAATACATTAAGAACTCCAGAGACCTTTCTTTCATGTGGGTTGTATCTAATATTTACCAAATTTTCAATTAAAACGGAGACTTTTTTTAAAAAGCATCATTTAATACTAACAATAAAACTATTACATGTCACCAAGGAAAAATAACTACTAAAAAAAAACCTTGATTTTTATTTCTAGATCTTTTTCACCTTAGGTATTTTACACAAAGCAATCTAAAAATGAATGGTATTTTCTGGATTTATTTTCCTTCAACACTAAATGAGATCTTCAGACCAGAGCAATAGTATCACCTTGGGAACTTGTGAGAAATGCAAATCCAGACCTACTGGACAGATTCTGAAAGGAGTACTCAGAAACTGTGTTTTATCAAGTACTCCAGGTAAATGATGCTCAGTACAATTTGAGAAGCACTTTTTAACACCATATAATGATCATCTTTCCATTAAAAAAAACTTATATAGCTATATTTACTCTTAAACCTGCATCGTTAGAGTATATATACAGAAAGTACGCAAACTGTAGGGGCAGAGCTCAATGCATTTTCACAAAGTGAACCAATCTGTGTAGTAGGGTTCAGATCAAGAAAGAAAACATTACCCGTACCCCTGCCTTCAAACACTATTAATTTCCCTGATTTTAAACTTATGTACATAAAGTCATACAGTTAATACCGTTCTTAAATTGGGAAGAACCCAAGCATAACTCCAAGGGAAATTGGCTGATCAAACATTTGTTAACATTAGCCACAATAGGGTGACTGAAAGTGGGAGAAAAAGGGAGGGAGAGCATTCTAAAGCAGAAAGAGATCTGCTAGGCAGTGTTGGGTTAGAAAAAGAGCAGCTGTGGAGTCTGAAACTGTTTCAAATGGCAATTTCATCATTTGGAGCTATTAAGTAAATTACCTTTTCTGAGCCCCTGGACCTAGGTAATTCCTACTTTGCGAACCTGAAGGAGAATTAAATATTTACGCACATTAAACTCAAAATAGACTAGACACGCAATTAAAAAAAATGTTTAAATCTGTTGAAGGCCCACAATGGATACTATGCTGTATGCATGAAATGGGTGAAATCTAGGGCTTGCTCTTAATCAGATCGTAATTCAAACTTCTGGTCATTAGGAAGGGAGTTTTCGGAGATCTCTTCCTGTTGGAATTTTGAACCCACGATGACCTGGCTGACATCATAATCCATTTCTGTTCTCATAACACATGTTCAATAATTGACTTAATCTAAATCTTCTGATATTTTGGGTCCTATAAAAATGTCACCTAAATCAGATGTGATTGCAGCAGGAATCCCCTTACCAAAAAATGTCACTTTTATAAATATTCTGTGTTGTGTAGGTGAAATAGCAGAAAATAGTTTATAGTTATTTCTCTTATCAAAAGGAATCAGAAAATAGGAACAAATCATCAAAAACTTGTATTTTATAATCAACTTCCCTTTCTCAGGTTCCAAGAAAAACAGTTTTTAAGACAGGACTCCTTCAGTTGGCAAAAACGCACTAATAGAGCTTACTACCAGAGCAGAAATCTCATTTCGCAAACAGGGTCAAAGAAGATTCCAAAAAATACACGGAGCTTCACACATCCATAGCCTCCCATCTTTCTACACACGCTGACACCCACCTCTTCTCACGAATTTGATCGCTCGCGGCACAGAAGCTGCAAGCGAAAGACCCGGCAGAACTAAACTTCAAACCGCATTGGCGTGTACCTCACTTTCCTCTCTAAATTTAGCTGGGATCTAACTTCCCGGAAACGCCCCCCGACTCCACACGCCGCTCCGCCCCCGCAGGAAGGCGCCCACTCGCTAGGTTCCCACGCTCCCGAAGGCAGCGGGAAGCACACGGACTTTGAAGGCACGACTGCGCAAGCGCCCAAATTGCACGCATGCGCCTTAGTTCTGCGCATGCTCGGAGGCGGAAGCCGGAGGGGTTCCTGAGAGGGTGGCGGAGGCCGCCCGCCCCGCCCCCGCCCTCTGCGCCGGGCTTCCCATCTGCGCGCCCACGGGCAGCTTCCCTTTCCGGGAGGGCAAGTAGCGGCCGCCGGTTTTTTCTCGTTCTTTTCCGTGGTTTTTGCAGCTCTCCTGGAGCAGACATGGCAGCTGGGAGACGCAGCGCCGGCCTGCGGCTCTGCGCCACAGGTAAGGGCCGCCTGGGGCGATGGGAGTGGGGGCGATGGGACGGGCGCGCGCGGGGACCCTCTCCCGGGTGGGGTCGGGTCTGGACAGGTCTCCCGCCAGGTTTCAGAGAGGCTCTGGGATCCTCCGAAATATACCCCGCTTCTGGGTCCTTCCCCTAACGCGGATGTGCCGGGGACCAGTGCCAGAAAAGGATGCGCCTGTCTTCCATTTGATTCCTTGCTTCGTGTGGCAGGAAGTTTCAACAGCGCTGACTCCGTTCATAGGCGTGAAGGCTCCACCAGCCTAGCTTGTGGCCAGACCTTGCTTTGGCTTTAGGTTCTGATCTTGGCACGTCCGAAGAATTTTTACCCACCGGGGGGTATGGCCAGGGACAGGTCGTGATGGCCAAGGACAGGTCATGATCAGATCGCCGGACCGTGCGGTGTGAGAAGTGATCAGAGTAGGTGGTGGCCTTTCTCAGCCTCCTCTTGCCACCGTCGAATGCCCTGGTCCTCACTGTGGTGTGTTCACTTCCTCCGCAGCCTTTTGGTTCCCCCTGTGTGCCGGGCTGTGAGAACTGTTAGTGTAAGAGATGTCGCTCAGTTTTGCTTCTACCTATGAAGTTGAAAAATAGATAAGTAAATAAATAAGACACAGTGTTTTGAATATGCAGTTGGAGTTTATACAGAGGAGGAGATAATTACTCCTGGAGAAATAAAGAAGAATGATTTCTGTGTTAAAAAAAAAAAGATGGAATGGAAAAAGGAAAAAAAAATGAGAGTAAAATTATGTTGAAAGAGAACCTGTGTGTTTCAGATTTACTAGCCTACACCTTGCGGGTCACAGCCTGGGTGCCTGCAGAGTGAATAGGAAAGCAATGGACTGCATATGCTTAGGCATTGTTCGTGCCTTGGAATGCATCAGTGATGGATTTTATGGTAGACTGTAAAAAATCAAAAACATTTTATAGATGACTAAGCATGTAGTGTGAAACAACAAATCAGCACTTACTGTAAACATTTTGTCCTTTTTCCTCTTTTTTTTTCCAGTTTTTTTACTTGATATGGTTTTCTGCAAAGGATTTGTAGAAGATTTAGATGAATCGTAAGTATATATGTATTTTAAATGGTATCTTAACTGTTTTAAACTCTGGAGTCTCTAAATGTTTCTATGAATCTATTTTAATAATAGAAACCTTAGTGACTGGTGTTCATATGGCACTAATTTTGTTTCAGAAGTTGTCCTGAGTGCTATTATAGATGTACAAAGTGGGGTTGTAGTCAATAGAGTTTACTGACGGTTCTATATTCTGTTTTACCATTCTTCATTATATTTGTTAGCTTTTCTGTTTATATCACGATTGAGCAGGTGCTGGAATTTAGTAACCATACTGTATATTTGTTTTTATAGTACCATAGCATTAATCAGAAAGTGGGTGAGGAGTCCTGTTCCAGACAGACCATAATCCTGTGTGTGATCTTTCGGGTCTGATCATAGGTAACTGCAAGGCTTTTCCTGGCAGGCCTTGGGGGAAAGCTGCTCTCCCCACACCAGACTTGGTGCACAGCTAGTGCATTGCAGTCTCTGGAGGGAGTTGTAATCATAGACCCAGGCCCCGAGGCTAGCCAGGCTCACATGCATATCTAGCATGTGCAAGTGGCCTCTTTTGGAGGCCTCCTTATTGGGGACCTTACCTAGACCACTCCTAGGCACCTCTACCGAGACTTCCTTATCTAGGGGGTTGGCTGAGACATTCTTTGCTTGCAGTACTTTTCCACTCCTGTCCCTTTCCCCCTTTCCTTCTCCTTCCATGGGTTCATAGGGAGGCAGAAGCCTTTGGTTCAGTGCTCCTCTGCAGTGAGGTGAATTCTGTCTATGCTGCCTCCACCTGACCCTCGCTTGGTACTGTTCTACTCAAAAAATGGAACATTGAGGAACTGGTGCCTTTTTTTTTTTTTCCCGTTGGCTTATGTTGTCACAGTAAGTAAATAAAGTCTTGACTATTACTTTCAGTTTGGCTTGTTGTCCTAATTAACTACCTCTATACAACAAAATTGGTACAGTAGCAGGGTGGTCATATGAACATAGTGCTGTTCAGGAAGAGTCGAACTCCTGAGGATCCCAGGGAGCACTTTACTAGCCATGCTAATGGATATTGGGGAGTGACAGGGAACCGTGGTGGGGTTTTTGTTTTTGTTTTTGTTTCGCTTTTGAGATTTTATTCATTCATATGAGAGACAGAGCATGTGCAAGAGAGAGCATGAATAGGGTTAGGGGCAGGGGGAGAGGAAAAAGCAGACTCCCCACAGAACTGGGCTTCATCCTAGGACCCTGGGATCGTGACCTGAGCTGAAGGCAGACGCTCAACTGTCAGAGCCACCCAGGAGCCCCTGAAGGGAAAACCATGGCTAACATGGAGGTAATCTTATTAAACTTGGTGTCTTGAGGGCTGTGTCACTATAGACTTCTTCCTTTAGAATGCCCTCACGGTGGTGACTTTCACCTGGGGGGTAAGGGGGTGGCACAGAAGGAAGGAGCGTATGGGCAGGCACAGATACCTAAGATCCTCTCTCTCTCAGCTGGATGCTGTGTGAACTTGACAGGTTTGGCCCACCCGTGACAAGTTTCTTGTCAAGGAAGAGCACTGCCCCACTCTCACAGAGGCTGTGGCCTCTGTGAGCCATCTTGGTGATCCCTTGGGTCTCCATGGAGAGACTAGGACACACTGGATAATGAGATTATTGGGCAGACTCAGATTTCTAGGTCTCTGTTTGCTGTTCCTGCTTGTTACCAGACCCATGTAAGCCTCCTCGCCGCATCAGTCCTTTCAGTCTGTGACACCGTCCAAGCCTTAAGTGAAAAATATCCAGACATGGAAGAAGCAGCCACCCTACTAAGCCAGCAAAGACTGACCAGCACACAGAGTGACATGAGCGTGGGAACTGAGCACCCTTTCATGGGCAACCCAGACATGAGCCTTTCTGGAAAAAAGTCTCTGGGTCTGTTTACTCAATAATGGGGTCTCAAAGGAGGAGACTGATAGCTCCTTACTGGGCCCCTCGTGGCCAGATGTTAAGTCACAAGGGATCTGATGGGCAGTCCCGCTAGGATCAGCATGGTGACAGCCCCTCTGTCACAAACTGTGTCCCCACCAGACGAGTGGAAGAGCCCTAAACGTCTACCCCGACCTTGAATAGCTGTTACGTCGAGGTCCCCCTATCCCCAGGGTGGGCTGGACATCCTGTGCCAAGGTCAGCGTTCATTGGGAAAGTGGGGGAGAAATGTACTTCTTGGGCCTTTGGGATATCCATGCACAAGAGAGTGGGATCTCTAATTCCCCTTCTACCAGGATGAGGAGGACACATAAAATGCCTCCCAGGTTTGAGTCTGTGATGACCCTTTTGCCCAGGCTTGGCTCAGGGTGAGTACTTTCAAGCCGCTACTACTAAATGTGTTACTGGCATAGCTGTGTTGCCTCTGTGTACTCCCAGTCACCCTTGTCCCTACGTGTCAGTGGGAATTGCTATAATTAGGGCCATTTTACTGGAACATGTGGAAAACTGTAAACCTACTTGGTTGGTATCTCTTAGTCTTCTGAAAACAATATTGGCTGTCTCGTGAGTAAAGGAAACAGCCATCCTAATTGCTGAGCTGAAGGAAGACAAAGTGCTCTGTGAGACCATTTCTCCATTCAGTAGCGCTGTTTGGCCTTTGCACGAGGCCTTGGGGACCAGGAGACTGCTATTGCTGGTAGGTCCCTCACTACTCTGCACTTGTCACCGGGGTACCTGACGTCACGAAGAGGCTACTGGAGGAAGCTTGGTCTGTGGCAGTTAACATTGCAAATGCCTTTTCCAGTATCCCTCCCCAATGGGCTGATCAGGGTCAATTTCCTTCATGTGGAACGGATTCCAGCACATCTTTAATGTCCTTCTGTAAGAATCGTTAATTCCACATCTATGTGGAATTAACGTGGGGAGGCCGTGGTCTGGAAAAAGTCTTGCATCTGGAGGGAGCACTGGCTTTTTACTGTGTTGATGAGAACCACCCTAGAGGGCCTAGACAGGGCACTGCCCAGCAAGTACTGGATGCCCTGTTGACTCACAAGTGACATTGTGGCTGGGCTTTTAACATAGGCAACATACAAGGACCTAATTCTTGGACCTGATCTGGGAAGCAGAGTAACATCCATTCCTGAGGAGACTGTTACCAAACTTTTGACCTTTTTTTACTGCCTGCCCCCCCTGCCCCAGCTAAAAAAAAGGAGGCCCAGGGATTGGTGGGCTTATGTGGCTACTGATGCTGTCACACAGCCCTGTGGGGACCTTGATGGCACCCTTCCATCAGGTTACCAGAAGGGCTGCTGCTCTTGAGAGGGGCCCCAACCAACAGGATTCCCTGAAGGCCCTACGGCAGGCCACGAGGCCTCCCCCTTTCCTGATCTGCTCCGATCCGCAGCCTCCATTTGAATTACACATGTCCGCAAACTCAGGTCACTGATCAGAGCCCGTGGCAGGAGGACAGCTCTAGAGGCCAGAACAGACCAGTCATTGGCTGAAAGGTCCACCCCCTTTAAGAGATGATTATTGCCCTTGATGAGTGCAGTAGTAGGCTCACGAGCAGAACTTTTAGTCACCTTGCTAAAAAGGCCCGCTCTGGGTCTCAAGTGAAGTGGAGAAGGAACTTACATGAGCCCATCTGGAGTCTTGCAACTCCGTGAAAAGGTCTCATGAGTGCCACTCCACCTCGGCAATAACACCAGAGAAGGCATTGCCTCCTCAGGCCCAATGGGGACCCACACAGACTGCTAGGACCTGGTCACTAACCGCTCCTCTGGGTTAACTTATGGGGATTGGGTGTGGCTGCCATCCAACCTGAAGGAGACCTGTCCTTCATCAAGCGTGGTGGAGGGCCCTCCACCGCGGGCAGCTTCGTGCAGTGCGGAAGATCATCTGCCCCACTCTTCTGCACCTCCTGCTTACTGCTCCAGCCCCAGCAAACAAGCTCTGCTGTTGTCTCATGGGCTCTGGCTAATGGCTTGGCCATTTGGTTGTGTAGCATATAAAACAGAGCCCCCTATGGAGATGAGACATCTGGATGGAGATCATCTGCTCCTCCTAAGTGTTTTTTCCTAAATGTTTTTATAACCTACAATTAAATTAGTTTCAGGTGTATAGCATAGTGACTCAGCAGTGCTGCATGTAACGTAGCGCCCATCAAGAGAGTGTCTTGTAACCTGTGTGGATGCTCACCAGAAAGGCCCCGATGCTGCAGAAGGAGACGTAACCAATGAGCATATTGTGCTTTTAGCTCAATATGGAAACTGAATCGTTCTCCACACCAAAGCAAGCACGTGCCCAATCATTTGCCTCTGGAATCACGAGAGGATGGCCCGTGGAAGGTCAGACAGCATCCTAGACTAGGCTAGCAGTACCCGGGCTGCCACTGTGGCGAGAAGACAAGAAGACAGCATGAAAAAGCCTTCTTCTGGTCAGACTTTGGTCAAGGCTAAGACTGCTGCCCCCAGATGGTTTCCTTCAAGTGAGTGGGCTAGGCATTCTTGGCAGATAGAACAGGTTGGGCTCCTTGTGCCATCCATCGTGTCCCAGTATCAGTTGACAGGTTCTTTGAGTTTCACCTAGCCATTTGCATGCGTTCCATGGACCCCAGCCACACTCTCCAGACCCTGCAAGACCACATTTTTTCCTTCTTCAGTTTCCCTGAGAACACTGCTTCTGATAACAGCCGTGGAATTTATGCTCAAGCTACCCAGCAGTTGGCCCGGTCCTGGGTGTACAACAGACTCTCTGAACGCCATATCTCCCCTAATCCACAAGGCTGCTTGAGTGTTTTAATGAATATCTGAAGTATGGGCTTGACGAATGGGAGGGGACAAGATTCCCCAGCCTGGTCTACACATCTAGGCCTGGGTCTCAATGCAGCAGTTCCCCAGTCAGGTACTTTGTCCGGTTGTTTGTCCCCTTCCTTCAGTTTGACAGTTATTCACTCTACAGTCTTTGTTGGGGACTTCCAATGTATAAAGGACTTCCATGCCAACTCCTTCCCGAATACTCAGATCAGTGGGAGATGAAAATGGCTATTAAACATTAGGGACTGGGAGACCGTAACGTCCTGCATTCTCCCCCCGGGGTGAGTATGAGTGTTTGCCTCAAGAACAGTGACCATCAATGAGAGGTGTCTAGTTCAGCAACTTGCTCCCAGTGGCTGTATTGCTTTGCCTGAGTAGTTCCATTGTGTATACAATGGAACTTTTTATTAAGCGTGAGAGGAGCAGAGGCAGAAGATCTGGGTTTACCAACCTGGGGGATTGACTGAGGGTGCTATCCTTGCCCATGGTGCAGGACAAACTATGTCACATCTGGAGAGATGTGAGCGCCGTTGGACTGAAGAACTCAGATAATGGACAGGTGTTCTCTTTGTCTTAACTGTAGGTTCAAGGATCTTCCTAAAATATCCCCACAAAGAACTTTTGTCATTCATTCAGTATAAATTAGATATAGATCTCTGTGCAAGGTACTAAAAGATGAAACAAGCATATTTATGGTTGGATAATATGTAAAAACGTATGGAAATTGATAAGAATCCTAAAGAGGATTAAAGACAATATGGAGAGATTGTTTCTAGCTGCGAGGAATTCAGGAAGGCATTATGGAGTGAGAAATGCTTTTAGCTGGATAGGGTGTGAACGTAAAAAATATATAAAGTCAGATTAACACTGTGAATTTAGCTGTGATAAATACTGTGGGTTGATTGGAAATCACGTGATGCTTATATTTGAGTGGAGCCAGCACATGAGAACGTGTAGCAACATATACTACTTTTTGTAGGTGATGGAAGGGTACCTAAAAAGTCTCAAATAAGAGTAACACGATCAGATGATCACAGCTGTGTTAGGGGAACTCTTTAACTGCAGGCCCTTGTGTCTGGGGGTCCCCAAAAGCACCCCCAGGCTTGGTTATTGACCAGGAGCACTCAGGGGACTCAGCCTATCGTGGAAGTCACAGTTACGGTTTATTGCCGTGAAGGGGCACCAAGCAAAACCAACAACGGGAAGAGCCATTGTGCAGTAAATTCCAGAGGAAACCAGGAACAAGTTCCGAGAGTCCTCTCCCAGTGGACTCACACGGGATGTGCTTATTCCTCCATCAGGAGCTACCACCACATGTGTGAAAGGTTCTCTACCAAGGTAGCTCATTAGAGACTCAGTGCTTAGGGATTCTTATTGGGGGGTGGTCATGTTAGGACCTTCCTGCCTAGTCTGTACCAAAATTTCAGACTCTTGGAAGGAAAGCAGATGTTCATCATAAAACTACTTTGTTTGCACAGCGTTGGAACAGTGAGCTATCTTATCAGGAAATGTGGAAATCCTCCTGAAATTCAAGTTCCCGGATGCCAACTAAGGGCCAGTCTTGGAAGCAGACCTTGTTAAGGACAGCAGTCTCAGTTTAGCTATGCTCGCTGTAATGCCTAAGAGTAAATGGAGTAGAGGGGCCAGGAGCTGAGGCTTGTGTCTGTGTTTCTACCAAGTCCCACTTAATTTTTTTTTATTTATTTTTTTAAGATTTTATTTGAGAGGGAGAGTGAGCATGAGTAGGGGGAGCTACAGGGGGAGAGGGAGAAGCAGACTTCCCCACCAAGCAGGAAGCTTGACTCGGGGCTCAATCGCAGGACTCTGGGATCAGGACCTGAGCTGAAGGCAGATGCTTAACAGACTGAGCCACCCAGGTGCTCCAATTTTTGTTGTTGTTGTTGTTGTTGTTATTATTATTATTTTGTACTCCTGATGATCAGTTCTGTGCTTTTTAAAAGATGTTTAATGGGGGCACCTGGGTGGCTCAGATGGTTTAGCATCTGCCTTCGGCTCAGGTCATGATCCCAGTCGAGCCCCACATCAGGTTCCCTGCTCAGCGGGGAGCCTGCCTCTCCCTCTCCTTGTACTACTCCCCTTGCTTGTGCTCTCTCACTCTCTCTGTCAAATAAATAAAATCTTAAAAAATTAGAAGAAATAAAAGATGATTAATGGATAAGATTTAGAGGTTGCTTAGTAAAAATTTTACATAAAAACTTGGAAGAATTCCTTCTATGCTCCAGTATTTATCAGTTTATCAGCCCTATGTATTGTAAAGTAGAAACAAACATGCAATCGGAGATTTGTTTTCTCATGTTTGTTTTTTAGGTTTAAAGACAATCGGAAAGATGACATTTGGCTTGTAGATGTGAGTATGTAAATTTTTGTACTAATTACCCCTGCCATTTTAAGTATGATTTTCTATTCTCCTCCACATAGATAGGGTAATATATAGTTAGTGTTTATGTATATTACCCAGTTTTTGTCACATAGTATTATGTAGATTATTATATTAAAATGAACGTCAGAGCCTTAAGGTTCCTGGCAAGGGAACCTGTTTTTGCTGAAATTCTGAAGAGGTTGACGTATGAATTATGTCTGAGGGAGATTGTGGTATGATTTTACTACAAAATACACTCTTCTTTTTTTCTATTATGCAAGAAATTGTTTAGGTTATTATCACTTGACAGTAAAAATCTTATTTTCATCGTAATGGGGAACAAAATCAGATTTTCATCTTACTTTTTTCACTTTCAAGTTTAGAATGTTTGGGATTTTAATTTGCCCCAGTAAAAATGTAGTAGAGTGGCAGCAAAGGAGAGAGAATGAGAGCAGCAAAGTTGACAGATGCTGAAGTAAAGCGATGGGGTGTGAGAGTCCATTGTTTAATTTTTCCTCTCTTCTTTTGTGCATGTTTGAACATTTCTATAATGTCGAAAGTGGGTAAATCTTATTTCATGAAAGTATAAGACGTGGTTTGTTATACCATTTAACTGGAGGAACCTGTTTTTACCTCAGCCCTCTGGTGATCCTGAAGAAAAAGGAACTGTGATTTTAGATTAATCAACCTTGTCCCTTTGCCAAGCCAGTCATCTTAGTGATTTCCCATCCCTTGCTAGTAGTTACGCTTAAAGTAGCAAAGGTACCTATGGTGTTGGGATTTTCATAACAGAAATAGACCAGTGTTCGTCGTGAACACTTAAGGGAGGTGTGTGTGATGTACGTGTATTCATCTTATATATGACACAGACTGGCTTTGGACAAAGATGTTTTTACTGTAAGTTTTCTGTTTTAAATAGGAATAAGTAGTCATTTTAAATGAACTTAAGGTAATATCAGCGTTGAGGTATATGCTAGGCGTTAAACTAATTAGATTCGTGTGTATGTTTTGCCTTTTATTATGTAACTACTATAGAAATTATATTTAGACTTTTTGTCTAAAATGAACTCTTCATCAGATCACTTAGTCAAAGAGATTCTTTAAAAATTAAAATTGATATACGCAATAGCACAACATTTCAGTGGTTGTCTTTTCTTTTTCCCCCAACAAGTTTTATGCACCATGGTGTGGCCATTGTAAAAAACTGGAACCGATTTGGAATGAAGTTGGTCTTGAGATGAAAAATATTGGTTCTCCAGTTAAAGTTGGAAAGATGGATGCTACCTCCTATTCCAGTAAGCATTTGCTCAGTTTATTATTTTACTGTTCTCATAGTGAAAAGGTGTACTGAACGTGAAGCAGTATTCAAGGTAGGAGGAAGAAATACTTAGTTTTTGCTCAGGTAAATTAAGGTTATCTTAATAATTAAAGATTGTATATTTTATGAGTTAAGTGATTTAGCCATCAAACGTGTAATATGTAGTGTATATTACTCTTCTGCCTGACATGTATGTATAAGCCACTGTTTCTACTTTGAGCCCCCTTGAGAGACTGTTTACCTGACGCAGCTAGAGAAATTTGAGTGTCAATCTGTGGATGTTGCTGTGTGAATTCAGAAGGAGAGTTGTCTGAGTAGCCATAGATGATGTGGGAGAGGAGGAGATAGAGACCTATAAGATGAGATGAGGTAGAAAAAATACAAGGGAGGATCAGGATAGTATTCACATTAGAGAGAATATTACAGCACAATCTTAACTGTTGAAAATGAGCTTAATAAGTATGTACGAGAGAATAGGACATCCTAAAGCGGAGGTTGGCAAACCACCTTTGGACAGAAACTGGCCCACTGCCCATTTTTGTAAGAGGGGCTGTATTGGAACAGTGTCACATTCATTTGTTTACTGTTGTCTTTGCCTATTTTCGTGTTCCACTAGAGGAGTTGAGGAGTTTCAATAGAGGTTCTGCCCCACAGTGCCTAAGATATTTGTTATCTGACCTTTTACAGACAAGTTCACCAATGCCTATCTTAAAGGATTTGAGAAAAGAAGAATTTAAGTTTAGAGAAGTATGAAGTATCATAGAAATTTGGAAAGAGCATGGCTTCAGAAAGCAGACCTGAATTCAAATCCTGCTTCTGCCTGCTACTTTTGCCATGTAAAATGGGGAGAGTTTCTTAACATCTCTAAGCTTTGATGTCTACATTGGTAAATATTTAATTGTCCTGTGTCTTTCATTGGTTTTTTTGAAATTAAATGATATAGCACATGTCAAGTCCCTTATAGTATTCAATACATGTAGCTTCCCTTTTCCTTTAATCAGTGAAGCAAGTGGAATTATGTAATGCACATTTCTTTTTAGGAAATCAGGATTATACTCAGGATACAGCTTTGGAAAAGGACAGGCCTATGTTTTTGTTTGTTGGTTTGGTTTTGGTTTTTTGTTTTGTTTTGTTTTTTTAAAGGTTTATTGATATGTCAGAGAGACAGAGGGAGATTGCACGCACAAGCATTGGGGGCAGCAGGCAGAAGTAGAAGCAGGCTTCCTGCTGAGCAAGGAGCCCAGTGTAGGACTCGATCCCAGGACTCTGGGATCATGACCTGAGCCAAAGGCAGATGTTTAACAGACAGAGCCACCCAGGCTCCCAGGACAGGCTTATGTTTTAATCCCATATCTCCCTAGTGCTACTTCTGGGTCTTTGGGGAAGGCCTTAACCTTTCAATTTTAGTTTCTGTGTCTGTAAGTGAGAGAGTACTAATCCTGAAGGTTGGGAGGATTGTATTAGCATTTTGCATGCAGAATTCCTTGCGGAGTGCTTAGCGCACATAAGACAACATATAAGACCAGATTTTAGGGGTCTGTCACGTCATGGTGTTAAAGATTTTATCAGTTGTCAATTGAGAGGTAATGGGCATTTTTGAGAAGCAGTTGACTTGATAAAAATGTTTTTGGCAGCAACATGTACAGTACAAAAGAAAAGCATTTAGTCAAGAAAATCATATAAGTCCATTTTTGTATGCATCTTGGTGCTCTACAAAAAGATGCTGGAAGCCCAGGCTTAGTAATGACAGTGGAGTGAAAGGGGACACAGTAATCCTCACAGACATCTTCAAGGATGAAATCACAGATGTGATAGTCTGGCTCTGTCCTGTAAAGAAGAGCAATCAAAAGTAGTAGGACATGATTCTTAGCGTAGTTGCTGAACTACACAACTGCTGGTTATATGGAAAAGAATAATTCATTTTCTGTGTGTTTCCATGTTAGCAGCTGCTGTGAATTTATGGGATTTGGCTTCCTGATGTTCGGGAACAGGGAACTAGAGAGCAATTAGGTGTGAGGGATGGAATTATAGTCAAACAAGTAAGTTGTTAAAACTTTGAGAGGAGACCAGAGCGATAGCAGGAATTACTGTAGACAGAGACTGATTTCTAGAATTAAGCTTTTTAACAGTGTTTGAGAAATGACTGGTTTCACCCATTGCTCCTGAAAGTAAGTTCTTGTGTCTAGGCTATCTTGTGTCCGTCAGTCTTGTTTGATTAGAGCTGTGTGTGCCTGTGTTCATTCACGTTGTCAGTCGTATTCACTCAAGTGTGTTTACTAGCTAGTGTGTTAGTCTCTAGAGATTAAAGGAAGACCAAAACAAATCCATCTGGTCCAGGAAATGCTTAGTCTAATAGAAGGAAAAATACGAACAGACCAACAGGTAGAATAAAGTCTCAAACATAACGAATTCTTGTGATCATTTGAATCATTTAACAGAGTCATAAAGTAGAATAATGTATAAAGGAGTGTGGGTATATAAAGACAGATAATCAATGAAAAAATAGTACCTACAAATCAGTAAAAACCTCAATGGTAACTACTCCTGTGATGCTACAGTGCTAATAACTGTTTACACTTAGTCTTTTTATAGTACCTAATTCATTAGCTTACTCTTCAGTATGTGCCTGTGTGTGTCACTATTAAGTGACACTATGTTTAGGGCAAAAATAGCTAAGACTTCTCAGGAGCTTAGAAAAGGAAACGTTTTAAATGCTGTGATTAAAGTGCAATGTTCTTAGAGCTGTTAAGACTTCATATATGGTTTGTAGCGTTATAGGTACTTTACGATGAGACTTTTTTCATCCCGTTATTCATAATCCATTAAGAGGTTTAAATTTTTGCCTCTGATATGTGACTTACAGATCTGTTCATTTAGCATCGTATTATATATTACGTTGAGTTAATAGGAGGAAGAAATGTCTGTAGAGCATGCAGAGCACATTATCTCAAGCAAACCATCTAGCTTTGGGAAAAGGGAAGGGGAGCTGGTACATGAGGGTTATCTCTGCCAAGATTGTGATGGATGTTTCCTATACTTTATGTCCTTTACTTCTTGGATGTGCAATGCTGAACCCTCCACCCCTTTCCCATGGTAATGCTTGCTTGTAAATCCTTATGACTACTTGCATCATACAAACGTAGCCTATTCAAAAATCACTGTAGAGTCAATATTCATTCAGTGAATATTTCAAGAACCCTTAACTGTATGCCAGGACGTACCAGGCACATTCTAGGCATCAATGATGCATCAGTGACCAAAACAGACAACAATCTCTACTCTCATGGAGATGGTATTCTAGAGGGGAGAGACAATAACAAACATAAGTAAATTGTTATGTTACTTAATGTTTGAGGTCAGCGATGGATGCATTTTCTACTTTACTGTAGAATCAAGATGTTTTATGTGCTCATGGAGAAAATACTATCTTCCTAGTATTTTTTTTTTAAGGTGTATTTAAAAACTAGTGTCTAGAGATTGTACGAATAGATTTGCGGCATATAATTTTTTTGGGGGGAGCATATAATTCTTAGTTTCCTTTAATACCTCAAGGCAGCTCCACTATAAGCATTTTAGTAGAAACAGGTAAAGAAATTGAATTTTTTTTCCAGACTAGCTGTCAACATTATTCTATGTCTAACTGTAAATACTGAAGGGTTGGCTGTTTCCTATGTATTTCATCCATCTCCCTAGGTCACTTTTCAGGCATTTCCAGCATTAGTGTATCTCAGCATTTGGTCTGCAGACCACCTGCATTAGGATTACCTGGGCTGCTCAGTGTAAATTTAGACTCTGGAGACCGACATCAGCCCTACCCAATGACAGTCTTTGAGACTGGGTCATGAGAATCTGTATTTTTAAAGTGGACTTCAGGTAATTCTGCTGCACGTTTGAATTAGAGAACCATGGAGTAAAGTATTATTCTGATGGCTAGTTATTTATAGATTTATAGTATTGGGCTTTGGGTAGGATAGGATTATTCAATGATCAAGTATAAAAAAATGCCGTAGGAGTATTTGAGGATAGCTTATTTCTCAGGCGTGTAAGTGCAGAGATTGGAAGCACATGGCACCACTCTCAGTCCAGTGCATCTCTGTACAGAATTCTTGAACTAGAGAAATTTGAACTATCATGAAATATCTTGCCCTGTGTATTTGGAATTGTATCAGAATTTTCTTGATGCATGGTTTTAACTGATAATGCTGTAATCAACATTAAAAAACACTATATAAAGGTAGATATTTTAGCCTCTTTTTCTGTACATAATCCCTTCCAAAATCAAGTACTAGAATTGTTTCACATTTGTAAAATATGTTATGATGCTACCTGTAATGGTATACTGATTTCTGTTTTGAAGCCACTGAAATTGTGTTTTTTCCTCAACGTCAGTGTGATACTTACTTTATGTTAAAGTTTATAATTTGCTTCTTGTTGATGTGTAAACTTGGAATGACATTTGGCCAATAACATTCTAATTTCGTGTTTATAGATTATATTGTCAAATTAGTTTTACCTTTCTTTCTAAATTATAAGAACTTTTTGGTCAGTGATTCCATTTAAGGGTTGCTAAGTCTTGGCACTAAGGATATTTTGGGCCAAGTAATTCTTTGTTTGAGGGGAAGGGTTGCTGTGCATTGTAAGCTATTTAGCAATATCCCTGATCTCCACCCACTAGATACCAGTAACACCCTTCTCCCCATCCCATTGTCCCCCTAAGTTACTGCAACCAAAAGTGTCTCTAGACATTGCCCAGGGTCTCCTGGAGGGCAGATTTCCCCCAATTGAGAACTGCTGTATTTTATATCCTCTTCATATTAGATACATAGTAACACTCAATAAATACTAAGAAAAATAGTATTTTGAGCTGAAAAGGATTTCACATTAATTACAGCTCCTCCCTTCTTCCCCTGCCCATTGTGTAGATGAAGTAACAGCAGGTCGTTAGCAATGAAATGACTAAATAATTTCAAACACCAAAGTTAGAGGCAGAATTAGAACCAGAGTCTGAAATCATCATGATTCACTTCCAAGCCTAGCTCTACTATCAAGTTGTTATTTCAAGGAGAAAACAGGAAATAGGAGGCTTCATGTTTAACCTCATTTTATGACATTTAAAAGTATAAAATTTCAGAGAAGTTATTCATGTTACAAATGAATTCTTGACTTTGTGAAGGAATTAATCTCAGGTTTCTATGCAAACCATTGTTCTCTAATATGAAAAAATAAAGAACAAAAGTTAAACTCAGACTTAAGCTTCATTCATAGTCCTGCTACCTAATCAGTGCTTGCATTCAAACAAGTTACCAAGTCTAAATATCAATTTCTTTACCTGAAAAGTGATATTAGTATTCTTCTCCTATTCACAGAATTATCTGGAGGTATAGTAGAAGGTCTACTAAAGTCAACTATAAGATATTTTTTATATGATAGTTATTATATATACACTGATGTGTCTGCAGTTAATCACTTAACAGTGAGATCAGGATCCGAAATAGAAAGGAATTGGACCTATCATTTCAGGATCTCTGTGTGCCAAGCTCTCTCTTAGATTCTTTTCCACATGTTTTCTCATTTCAAAATCCCACCCATAAGCTGAAGAAGATGACTGCTGTCCTGAGAAGGACGAGAGCTGCCTAGATGATAAATGAGAAGTTGGAATCCTAACCTATATCATTTTACGTCTATAACCCATGCTTTCCTTGCGTGATATATATATAAATTGTTTTCCTAGGGAAGCCTGAGTTTAAGGTTTTAGGAGTCACTGCCAGTTGAAATTCTATCAAAAATGGAGTTTAATGCTCAGAGTCAAGGCATAGTAGAGTGGGTGGCATATCTCCATCTTACAGATATGCTGAGACCAGGGAAATGTGATAGGGTGAAATGTGGAGCTGGGGTTTTTTTTCTCTGAAACCTGTTTTGAGAACCACCATTGTATTTTCTTACTGACTGCATATTTTCTTTATTTGTTTATGAAAAAAACTTTACAGTAAATTAAAGAATTGATAGGTGGGTATACCCACTCCGCCCACTCAGTCAATTGTATTATCTTAGTTTAAGGTAATTAAGGGCTGATGTTTTCCAGCCTCCTTAATTTGGGAAGGGGGGGGATTAAGAACATCTTTTACTCACATTATCCCCCCAAATCATTTTCATAGTTTTACTCAGAAGTCAATCTCCATAACCACAGTGTTCAATTAGACTCTGTTTGACAGTTAAATCCTACATTAGTGATGGCACAAATAAATACGTAATTGGCTTAATTTCACATAGCTATTCAGAGGCAGGATCTGTATCTCCAAAACCTATGTTATTTTTGTTCCCTTTGCTGTTTGTGTTGCTTCTAAGAAAAACCAATGTTGATCACTGTCCAAAACCTTCCAGTCACCTTTCTCTATAAGTTTAAGGGAGAAACTCTTTTGATAACAAAGGAAGGCTGAGAGATTTTGACTATTATTTGGCCACAAATTCACTTCGTCGTCATTCTTGGGTGGAGGTGGTGGGTGGTGCTAAGAAACCAGGGTAATGGTGACTAAAGTGATTGATAAACCAGAACTCATATACAGTAGTGTCCTTATTCCCAACCACAGTTAAATGTCCTCGAAATAAGTAAAATTAACAAAGGGAGAGATCATATGAATAAATACATTATATTTTATTTAAACTGGTATATGTGTAAATATATTGTATATTGTCTCTTAATTAAGATGGTTTCATTTCTTTGTTCTGGTTGTCTTGAATCTGTAAAGTAGGACGGTATTAATTTGCAGTAGTGATTTCTGTACCTCTTAAAGTCCTAATTCTCTATTTGATTGTTTTTGTTTCTTCTTTCCCTCAAAAAAGATGCCATCGTAGCAACTGTATTCCATTTTAATAATGTGATGACTTCAGAATAATCTTTGAAAATAACTAGAATTATTCTGGGTTATTACAAAAGCAGAAACTTCTAAAACAAGTAGATAAAGTTGCTTTTAGATCATGTATTGTCTGCAGAAGTTAAGTAATTTTGCAAATACAATTTATTTTTTTTTAATTAAAATACAGTGCCGTTCTTTTAAGTCTCAGAAAACACTAAAGGAAAGGATGGGCTTTGTTTGTTTGTTTGTTTGTTTGTTTTTTATTTTTGCAAGGAACCAATGAGACATAGAAAAAAATATTTGTCCTAGAAGATGAAATCAAATGACAAGTGAGACTTTATATATATTTTTTTAACAAAAATATCTTTAACAAGAACATCTTTTAAAAGAATCTTTAAAAAAAGTACCTCAGAGATAAAATTTTAACTATTCTTTTAGCAGTTATTCTTAATTTGTCATAGTGTTTTGTGTGGCCATGGGTTGGAGAATTAAGTAATTGTTTTGTATGAGAATGTCATGTTTTTTCTTTTTTGTATGTGAACTTATATTCTTTTTTAAGACTTGAAAACAACACAATTTTATGGGTTTGTATAAATACATATATATAAGTAAAAGGCTCATTTACTACCTAGTTTCTCATTTAAAAAAAAATTTAGAATTATTTATTCTTTTTCTTATCAAGGCATTGCTTCAGAGTTTGGAGTTCGAGGTTATCCAACAATTAAGCTGTAAGTTGAGTGTTGTATGTTTATATGTGTATTTTTATTAGTTCACTCTGCTTACGTTTTATTACATTAATTTCTAGTAGCATCCGTGGAGGATTGAAGATTCGGGTTCAGTGATTCTTTCTAGGTGCAGTATGTGAGCAGAGCAGAGGGACTGCATTTTCCTGCTTTTCTCGGTATTTAAGTGAGTGTGTTGTTGGCGGCTGAGTCACTGAGTGCGCGCTGAGCGTTTGCTGCGGGGCCGCCTCCTGCAGGACGAGACGCACAGCTGTATAGTCTGAAAGGTGTTTCACCCTGAGGAGCTCAAGGGTATATTCTGCTGTAGCACGTGACTCCTGTCTCCTAACAGATGTTACTTTTCTATAATGGAAATAGACTTACTTCATTAGAGAAGAAAGAATTTAATTTAATTTAATTCTAATCTGTAAGTGTTGGCAAAGTCTAATGTAAAGTGTATATAAATTGGGAGAAATGGTGTACTAATTCTAAGGGATTTATTTCATAATCATAATTTTATTGAATTTTCTCTTGAGTTTCATCTTATTTTGGTAATATGCGAGTTGAGGAATATTTGGAAACTTATTTTTATCATTAGGTAAGTTATTTTTCAGTGTTTTAAAATCTCAGATTTCAAAATTTGACTAATTTTAATTTTTTATTTCTTGAGTTTTGTGTTGACTTCCCTCCTTGCCCTGCTTTCAAAAAATGTTAAACCTCTTTTACTTGTGTTAAGTAAATTATCCTTTCTGTTCTTTTTTGTTTGATTATAAATGTTGTATTGTGTTTTCACTTTTTTTTTTTTTTAAATCTCAGCTGGACACATCATTGACAGGCTTTTGGAAAATTGTCTTAATTTTATAGGATAGGTGTTTCACTCCTTGTTTATCTCTATAATCTTGGAGCATCTTTCAAGTTCCTGTGATGCTGTGTTGCTTAAAATTTGTTTACCTCTACCAAAATACTATTAATTCCCTGTCATTTTTTAAACTAGAGAAAATAGTGAGAACTATGTTGCTTTTACAAGCTCTTGACCATGAATGTATAGATTATGCACTTTTCAGAAGCATACACAGTGCAACTCTTAGATATAAAATGAACTATTTTCATGTAATTTCAAAAAAATATAGATTTTTCTTTATATTTTGAATTGTTGGTCCCCTGTAGCCAGTTGTCTACTGTATTTCACATGATTATGGTATTTCTGAAACAACTCTGCATTTACTATTTTATATACTGTAATTTACCATAACAGTAGTGATTAGTGTTAACTATTAAAACAGTTGAAATAATCTAAACTTCTGTCCTTTTTTTTTTTCTTTTTAAGATTAAAGGGGGACTTGGCATATAATTATAGAGGACCACGAACTAAAGATGATATTATTGAGTTTGCTCACAGAGTGTCTGGGTAAGTTTTTATTAGGAAAGGCTTTCACTATATGATTACTAATATTTTATAGCAGCAATATCCTCAGTAGCCAAAATATGGAAAGAGCCCAGATGTCCATCAACAAATGAATTGGTAAAGAAGAAGTGGTATATATATATATATATGCAATTGCATGTTAACCAGCCATTAAAAAGAATGAAATCTTGCCATTTGGAACCACATGGATGGAACTGGAAATTTCATATTAAGTGATAGAAGTCAGTCAGAGAAAGACACACCATTTTCACTCATGTCTGGAATTTAAGAAATAAAACAGATGAACAAATGAGAAGAGAAGAAAAAAGATAAAAACAAGAGAGGGAGACAAACCACAAGAGACTCTTAACTGTAGGAAACAAACTAAGGGTTGCTGGAGGGGAGGTGGATGGGGGGATGGGGGACCTGGGGGATGGGCATTAAAGAGGACACTGGATGTGATGAGCCCTGGGTGTTACATTCAACTGATAAATCAGTAAATTCTACTCCTAAAGCTAGTAATATACTATATAGTAACTAAATTTAATATATTATTATTTTTTTTAAAGATACTAATACCTTAAAGTTAAATGTAATTTTGGGCCACCTGGGTGGCACAGTCAGTTAAGCATCCGCCTCTTGATTTTGGCTCAGGTCACGATCTTTGAATCATGAAACCAAGCCCTGAGTGTGCTCCATGCTGAGGTCCAGAGCCTGTTTAAGATTCTCTTTCCCTCCCTCTGCCCCTCCCCACTATGCATGTACTCTCTGTCTAAAAAAAGAGAGAAAACTAAAGCTAAATGTATTTTAATAGACCATATTAAACCCACATTTTTGTAGGGACTTAACCTGAATAACATCTTTCTGTTCGTTTATGACAAAAGGTAGGCATATGAAGCATATGAGGAGAGATGTTTAAAGAAACAAGAGGGACTGTGATTTGTATTATATTTGTTAACCTTGTATTCAATTTACTTCATTTGTAGAAAAAAATTTTTCTTCAGTAGATTTTTTATTTTTTATTTTTTTTAAAGATTTTACTTACTTATTTGAGAGACTGAGAGCTCAAGCAGGGGGAGCGGAGGGAGAGGGAGAAGCAGGCTCCCCGCCGATCAGGGAGCCTGATGTAGGGCTTAATCCCAGGACCTCGAGATCATGACCTAAACTAAAGGCAGATGCTTAGCCCACTGAGCTACCTAGGTGCCCCTGCCAGTGGATTTTTTTTTTAAAGATTTTATTTATTTATTTGACAGAGAGAAACAGTGAGAGTGTGAGAGGGAGAAGCAGACTCCCCACTGAGCAGGGAGCCCAATATGGGGCTCAGTCCCAAGACCCCGAGCTCACGACCTGAGCTGAAGATGGGTGCTCAGCCCACTGAGCCACCCAGGTGCCCCTGCCAGTGGATTTTTAATATTTTCAGAATTTGATTACTTCTAACAACCTTGTGAATGGTAGCTTTTATTTTACTGTAAATTTGCTTTTATACTGCTTCTACATCAACTCATTTTTCTTGTTACTTAACTCCAGAGTTTTTAAAAGAAACCCCACAATATCATTGTTCTGATTAGACCTGGGCTTTAATCCCTGGCCTGTGATACTGGAAAATCTTCTTAGATAACAGCTAAAATACTTTCCTTGATCTGTCACTTGCTCCTTTATGCCACATGTGAGGTATTACTACACATTGCTTAGAATGTGACATAATTAGAACCCAGAGTCTTATGGGAGTTACAGATCTCTGAGATTTTACTGCTAAGAAGACAGTTTCTTCCATAAACATTTCCTGTTGGTTTGAATGTGTTGATTTTGCTTTTTCATCTACATCTGTCTTGCTGGGGTGTAAAAGTTGGTACTTGTGATTATTTAATGCAATTATGTGGATCTTATTCAAGAGAACATTTATCAAGGTAAGTTAACCTATGTTGACTTTGGAAGTACAAGCACTTTCTTGTGAGTTTGACAGGATACATTGATAACTTTAAATAGCTTTAAAGTAAAATTGAACTATCGCAATGGGTTTGTTGAGTGGCATGGCAATGTATGTCTTGAATTATTTGAGAGAAAGGCAGAATTAGGAATGACCTTTTTTCAAGTTTGCAAAGCTTATTAATATAATTTTCACTGTATTTTTTCATTGATTGTATATTTCATTTTCTTTATTTGCTTTCTGAATAATTGTGAGATAAGTTTATATTTATATGAAGGGATATATGATACGAGGGGATTACGTGAGGGACTGATGTAACTAAAGGTGACTCTGTTGCAAATGAAATTTCATTACTCAGTCCTGAGGTTGCATCACTTAGCAGTTAATTACTGAAGTACAAGAATAGAGGCTAGAGTGGAGTGATGCAATGTACGTAAGGAACAGTGCATTTTGAAAATATGTTTGCCTTTGCAAACTCTGTATTCTTTCCAAATTTAGTGGAGAAAAATCTGACAGTATGAACCATGCCTCTTTTTTAGTTTTTTAGTAACATTTTACAAGTGATAAATTTTATAATAAATTTTGATGTAATTTATTTCTCAGTGTATTTGGCTTTGAAATATGCTTGCATAGTAAAAGTCTTTGTAGAATTTTGTTTTCTTTTTATAAGGTTCTTAGGTATTATTAGGACTACCACTTTCCATTTTATTTTTTCTGAAAAGAATAACATGCTTATGAAACATTTAGATTTTAACCTCTATATTTTATTTTTTTTTATATTTTTTTAAAAGATTTTTATTTATTTGACAGAGAGAGATCACAAGTAGGCAGAGAGGCAGGCAGAGAGAGAGGAGGAAGGAGGCTCCCTGCTGAGCAGAGAGCCTGATGCAGGACTCGATTCCAGGACCCTGAGATCATGACCTGAGCCAAAGGCAGAGGCTTAACCCACTGAGCCACCCAGGCCCCCTAACCTCTGTATTTTAAAACTAGCATTTAAATAGACATAAATCTTCTTAGCATTGCATTATAATTTTCTGGGATAGGATTTCACAGTGTGTTAGTGTGAATGATCATATGAAAGGGAAAAAATAATTCTCATGCGGATCCTTTTATTTGTGGCTGAGGACTCTGAATGGCTTATAGTTCTGTTCTGGCCTATCACAATATTGGCCAAGATGGTACTCTCTAAAGGGATGTACTTTAAACTTATTTTTTAAATTGATAGATTAAGTTGTGGGTACTTTGTTTTCATTGTGTGAGTACAGTTTTGGTCATGGGCTAAAGTTTTATTAGATGTTTGTGGATTGGGTGATTACTTAAAATTCAGTTAATACAACATTAAAACTTTGTAACTTTAAAATTATGTATTATCTTTACTTCAAATGCAAGTTTATTTTCTGTTTGTTTTGTTTTCAAACAGGGCTCTAATTCGGCCACTTCCAAGTCAGCAAATGTTTGAACATGTGCAAAAGAGACATCGTGTATTTTTTGTTTACGTAGGCGGAGAGTCACCTTTGAAGGTTATCAAATGATTTTATTTTTTAAATTCCCAAACACAAATGTATTACATTTAAATGTATTACAATTTAATTTTCAGTATAGCCAAAACTTTGACCCAAAAATTTAAAATTATTTCACTTTTATTGGAAATATTTTATTTCAATCTAAGTGTTTTTCTAATGAAAACACTTGCTTATATGTCCCCTGTTGTGTTTGCCTTCGTGAAACAGAAATGAATAAAAAGATGTTGCTTGCCCTGGTTATTCAGATTTTGTGTTACTTTTTAGCATTTTTGGCTCTTTGAGATTGCAGAGTGCAGTTTGAACGTAAACTTTGAAAATTGTTTATATGTGTGGAAATATGCACGGATCTCTCCTGTAACTGTTGAATTAAAATATATGAATTAAGCTTATTTATTTAGGGGAGTATTAAAGCATTGAGTTATGGTGGTCTTTTACTTTAGAAACAGTTCATTTCATTTGCTGCTTATATTCCATCATCTTTTCACATAAAAACACTTAAGGCATCAAATTGAGATGACAGGGCTGAGGATGATACTACCTGCTCTGAGTGTTTAATGAGGAATGAATTCTGATCTTAATATTTAAAAGTCACCTCTTTTCTATTTGTATCTTCACAGGAGAAATACATAGATGCTGCTTCAGAATTAATTGTATATACATACTTCTTTTCTGCCTCAGAAGAAGTGGTTCCTGAGGTAATGTTTAAAAATGGACTGTAATGATCAATTTCATTTTTTAAATTATTACTTGATTTTATTTATCAGATTTATTTACTCATATGTGTAGAACAATCAACGTGTTAACTCTTTACTACTGGTACTAGATTGTTAATAAGCAAATACCACGGATTCACAGCATTTAGGGACTGTTTATTACACTGATACTTTTTTTCTCTTCAGAGTAATAGCAGTAGTAAGAAATGATAGCCCAGACTGTTAAATTGGTTTATAAGTAATGGAGTGATTAATGTATTTATGTATATTAATGCACAGCTGCTGCTTATCTAATCATGTGCCGTGCCCTGTGTTAAGTCCTGGATTGTTGGTGAGAAGCAAACACATCAGGGTCGTGGGAGGGAAGAGCCCGCGTTCTCGTGGGTAAAGAAAGTGTACTGAGTCTGGGGTTGCAGGCGACAGCCTGAGATAGTCATGTCCAGCAAACAAATATGTGAACAGGACATACCTGCTATGAAAAAAGCAAAGAGCATTGTGATAGTAGGAACATGGGAGTCGGATGGCTGCTTTGGATTGGTTGATCCGGAAATGTCTGTCTGAGAAGAAAATATTTGAACTGGGCCATATATGCTGTGAAGGAGCCTCGCAAAGATCTGTGTCCAGAATAAACTAGAAACAGGGAGTAGATACTACAAATGCCCAGAAGAACACTGCTGGCATATTTGAGAAATAGGTAGTAGGCCGGTGTGCTATAATACAGTGAGAAAGGACATAGATAGGAGATAGGCAGAGAGTAGTGGAGGCCTTGCAGGTCACGGCCATGCATGTGATGGGTTGAAGTTGGTGAAGGACTTTGTCTCATGCTCATTTTAAGGACATTTCTCTGCTGAGAACAGAATGAATTGGATAGAATAGACCCAGAGATCAGCTGAACTCTTGAAGTAATCTGGGGAGTTTAAGCTTGGGGGTTTGTAAAAGAATGGGAGAGAAGTAAAAGCATTGTTGTTTTCTAGAGGTAGAATTGTTTGTGCTCACTGACCTGGAGGAGAAGGGCAGAATCAAGGATGACTCTTAGGTCTTTAGTTTAGCAGCTGGGTCGGTGGTAGTGTCATCTACGACCTTGGATTATTGCAAAAGAAATGAGTTTGGGAATGGAGGACTGATCAAGAGTTTTGAATTGTTCATTTAAATTTGGTTCAACATATTAGTTAGACATCCAAGCAGAAGCATCAAATTCTCAGGTGGATATAGGTGCCTGGCAGTCAGGCTGTATAAACAGTTTCTTAGACATGGATGCAAACTTTTAAGGAAATAAATGGGCCCAGGACCTAAAGACTGCAAAGGATGACATGAGAAGAAAATAGCTGGGGAGTAGGAAAACAAGGTGAGTGAAAAGCCAAGATAAACAAATGTTTTAAAAAGGAGGGTCTATTGTGCAAGATACTTGGAAAGTGATTGAGATGAGTTGAGGAAAATAACTGTGACACTTGTCCACGTGGAGGTTATAGTGGTTTTACGAGAAGGACAGGTACCTCATTGGTGTGATCTGGGAGAATGCAGATAAGAAATTGTAGGTTACAGGTCTGGACTCTTCTCTTCAGAAAAGTCTTCCTGAGAAGGGGACTTGAGAAATTAAAGTTTTCCCTGAGAAGGGGGCCTGAGAAATTAGGCAGTGGCTATGAGCAAACATGAAATAAATCAAGGGAAGCTTTTTCTTTTTAATCGGCGTAAGTTACAGAAAACAAAGCAGTTTTTTTCCCCCCACAAAGGTATGTCATATTACACACTTGATTAATTTTTGTTTAATATTTTTTAATATTTAAATATTTTTAAGACTGTATGTGTCTACTGCTTCTTGCAATATGTTGTATAAATGTTTATCTTATAAATGTGTAATATAGTCTGAAATGATTTTCACTTCCTTGGGAGAACCTGAGACAAATCTGGTCGGCTTAAACTCATTTTTAGGTTTACTTAGTTTTGTCCCAGAAGTTATTTTTTAGTATTTTATGTGTATGCATTTACTTTCGATGGGGAGGAGATGACAGGAAGGAAGAAGAGCTGTATGTGCCATTAGATTCTCAAATCGATGCCTTCAAAGCTTAAGATCTGTGTTCTGGAATGTCTTAAAATACTTACTGTGGTGTAAAGGCCCAGAATGGATGGAATCTAGTTCTCAGCCCAGGCCTAGGAACTTTTAATCCATTCATCTTCAAGCCCAGTGGGCCACGTTTTAGTATTAGACATGAGAATGTACACCGTCCCTTCGTCTTGAAGTTTTCAAGCAATTTACTTGGAGTGCACCAGAGGACATGCTGTGTTCTAGGCCCTGACCCCACATGGCACCCCCCCCCAAGTCCTTGTATAGTGACAGACGTTTTAGATCAAAATTCCAGCACCTAGAACTTCTGCGTGGGTAGGCACACACAGTATCTGCAGTGAGGGCATTCTTGTGGTTATATAATATTATTGACCTCTCAACTAGTTTTCCTTAAACATTCCTGAATTATGCCTGCAAATACCAGTATTTCTCATCTCTCTCTCTCTCTTTTGTTTTTCCCTTGTGTATATGGTTGCAAAAGTCTGCTTAGGGGAATCAGTATTCTTTCAGAGTAGTATGAGGAATTTTACCACCACAGAGAATTTTCAAATAAGGACAAGGCCCATAATTTTATATTTCCCCCATATTTTGAATTTTAATGTTTGATCATGCAAAGCTTCCTTAGCTTTATGTCTAGGATTGATGAAATCCCTAGTAAGCATAATAAAGGGATATAAGGATGACTCAGGGCAGTTTCTGACTTCAGGGTACTTACAGGCGAATGGAGAAAAATGGCTTGTGGACAGATGACTGTTGTCCGTGGTAATGAGTTGAAGGGAATATGAGGAAGGAGGGGGATTCAGAGTATGTGCAAGTCAGTGCTGCAGGCTCCCATCTACAGAGTGAGGTCAAGTGCGGGTATCCTTGAAAGAGGGGGTGCTGGATGCTATAATCTACGTGCAGAGTCCCTCTGTGGATGCGTTGCCGGGAGCAGATGAGCACAGGTGTCCGTGATGACAGAGACTTACCAAAGACCTTCACCACTGCCCTCCAGATAGCTATTTGCATGGTGCTATACCATGTTTTAGTAATTGTGTAAGAAATCATTCTATAGTACCTGAGGTATTCCTTCTCCCTTTTTTGGAATTCCAGGATAGCATCTCTGTTTTGTTTTTTTTTTTTTTTTTAAAGATTTTATTTATTTATTTGACAGAGAGAGATCACAAAGCAGGCAGAGAGGCAGGCAGAGAGAGAGGAGGAAGCAGGCTCCCTGCTGAGCAGAGAGCCCGACGCGGGGCTCGATCCCAGGACCCTGAGATCATGACCTGAGCCGAAGGCAGCGGCTTAACCCACTGAGCCACCCAGGCGCCCCAGCATCTCTGTTTTTATTTTATTGTTAAAGTTATTGTTATTAGTTATTAGATAACTATTTGTCACTGCTTTTCAGTATTATCACACCATGTCCTATTTCTACGTGGTTTACCCAGGGGGATACTGATTACTATAATGTCAGTATTTTGAAATAATGACAGCACAGGTATAAGAGGCAGGTACCCTCTGAAATAATTTCTTTTTATTAGTTGCCATTATAAGTTCCCACTTATAAAGCCAATTTACATCTTAAACCTGCTCTCACATGTGTTAGTGCATCTAGTTTTGCTAGTAACTCTGCAGTGAGGTGGAGACTCGGTGTCCTTGACTTACAGAGGAAGAAGCCAGCTCCCCAGGACAGCAGTGGACTCCCAGGTCACACAGCCCGGGAATGGTGGGGAAGGACTCAGACCTACCAGTGCTGGTTGTTGCCTTAGCCACAGCTCTTTAGCTTCCTCAGAGAGTGTCTTGTCCTGTACTTCCCGGGATATCTTTGGTCTCTTATCAGCTCTAAGAACAATCCACAGTTTTCTCAGTAGCAAATCTCAGTAGCAAACAGGGCACTGTGCCAGGTGTTGCATAGAGATAAAACTGTCGTTAGGTGACTTTGGGATTGACTGTGGGAGTCTTTTTCATTGTTTGTAACAGTTTTGTTGTGGTTTTTTTCTGGTATCTTTCAATCCTTTTGAAATCATAGCTACCAACTAAAAAAATTTTTAATGGTAAGAGTTATTTACACATCTGATTTTTTGCAGTATGTGACATTGAAGGAGATGCCCGCTGTGCTTGTTTTCAAAGATGAAACTTACTTTGTTTACGATGGTAAGTTCCAATGTTTTAACTCATACAAAACATGTTGAAATTAAAATGCTGCCCCTATTAGAGGACTTAGGTGTTGATGAAAGATTTGGTAGGTGCAACTACTTCTTACATTTCCTATTAGTTGAATAACAGATTTTTCTTCCCCTTCCACTTTGGTTTTTCTGTATAGTGTGCTTTCTGGGTTCTGCCTTCAGTGATTTTTTTTTTCTTTTTTTGTCAGGTCATTGGCCTTTTGAGACATGAACTCTATGCATGCATTTCTGTACATTATTTTAAAACATTCAAAATTATTCATATTAAAAAAAAAGATCTAACATTTCAGACTCACAAAAAGGTGAAGAAATAAAACCCCTTCAGTACTGGTGAGGACCCTGGAGGACGTGTTCTTTCCTGCTTTCATCTGTCCCTCCCTGACAGGAGTAACCAACCGTTCACCTGTTATTCAGCATTTCTTCACTGAAGTAAACACTTGCTGTATTTTTAAAATACTTTTGTTATACAAACCTACCTCGTAATAAAGACACTGCTGGAATAGTAAAATCCTATGTATATACCCATCAACCACGTTAGACCGTTACCAAGATCTTAACATACTTGCTTCAACAATGTTTTTCTTCGCTGAAGTATTTTTTATTAAGATTTTATTTATTTATCTGACAGAGAGAGACACAGCAAGAGAGGGAACACAAGCAGGGGGAGTGGGAGAGGGAGAAGCAGGCTTCTTGCTGAGCCAGGGAGCTGCTCGATGTGGGACTCGATCCCAGGACTCCAGGATCATGACCTGAGGCTGAAGGCAGTTGCTCGACCAGCTAAGCCACCCAGGCACCCCAGCTTTCAGATTTCTTGTTCTAGTTCTAGTACGAATTTGTTAACACTCCAGAGAGCCACTTTGTTTACCTTTGGAACAAGCGTGATCATATCTGTGTGGATGTAAATCTGCTCTGTAATCATAGCTAAGAAACCGCCCCTCCTCTTCTCTCCGTGTTTCAAATGTGGCCTCCCGGGAGTGGCCAGGAGGAATAAGAAAAGTACCTTTAGCTATGGGAGAGGCCTTCGTTTTCTGACTTGTAGGTGTTAGTATGTAGAGCCTGCCTGAAGCCTCAGATAACACAGAGACTTTACCTTGAATGCTTATTCTGACATTTAATTGTCAATAAGTTTTGATGCTTTGGGTTAGGGCTCAGGAGGATGGTTTATCTTCTGATGAGTTTCATGTGTATCACTTTGAACAATCTTAAAACGTTGGCTTTTGACCTGAAGTGGAGATTGTGGCCCCAGGACTCAACTCCTAGCTTTATGTTTATTTTCCTAATTTGTAAGTCCAAACCCATAAATACTTTCAGATTTGTGTTATGGCGCTTATTTCATAGGTTTGATAACTTGAAAATGTTTTGTTTAGCAATGCAAGTGACAGAAAAAAACGTATCTTTCACGAAATCATTAAAATCCAGTCTTCAGCCAAACATATTGGTAGGCTTTTATATCAGCTTCTTTTCATGCAGTTATAATAATTGTTCACAGTTACCTAAGCATTATATTTCTAATCGGGACATAGTTTTTCTCTTGATATTACAGATATTTTCTGTCTGCTTAGCAGGGGAATTACTCGATGTTGGAAAAAGGCTAAAGTACTATGGCTTCATATTTGTGTTGTGTTTTACATATGAGAAAGAGTTGTAAACTGAGGTAGAAATGTCAGAAAATAGAAAACAGCAAAGAAATTCTCATAAAAAGTTACTCATATTGCCATCGTTCAAGGATAACTATCAACTCAGGATAACCACTTAGTTAGGAATGTATGCCTTCATTTAATCATGCTGTCAGTTTGACTTTCAAACAAAGTTACAGTCATATTGTAATAATGTTTTACAACCTGCTTTACTACTTAATAATTTTTCAAAAACTATAAATGGTCTTCCTCAATCTGTCCCATAATTATTTAAATTATTTCCTGTTTAGGGTATTTCACTTATTTCCTTTATTTTTATTTCCTTATTTTTTGCTTTTTTTTTAAATGATGCTGTAGTGAAGAATTTCTTTGTCCATTAATGCTTTTGTATGTCTCATTGTTTGCTTAGAATAGATTCCTAAAAATGAAATTTATGAAGTTAAGATTATGATTCCGTGTCAAGACATTTTATACATATTGCCAGATTAGAACATTATAAACATTTAAAACTCTTACTTACATATAACTTACTAGCTTTTTTTATTTTTAAGAGTACGAGGATGGTGATCTGTCATCTTGGATCAACAGGGAGAGGTTTCAGAACTACCTTACTATGGATGGCTTCCTCTTGTATGAACTTGGAGACACTGGTAACAAGCGTATATACAACTCTCCATCACTTTGCAGAATTTTCCTTAATTGATTTCTTAAATCTGATTCTGTAGGAAATGAATTTTAAACTCTCTTTCATAATTTCCTTCCTTTTTAAGACTTGAATGCCAGTTCTTCTTCATGAGAATATAGATTAAAATACTAAAAAAGAAGCAGCATTTGTATGGGGAAAAAGATGAGTTAGTTAGGAAAGATTTACTAGTTAGAACTGATAGCAACAGGAAAAGCAGAGCCTGGATGATAAGGAGATGAGAAGAAATAACGAGGAAGCTGTATTGGGAGCTGATTTTGTAGTAGTTGGAATACACCTCATCACAACCTTTGAAACCTGCTTTTACTTGTGAGGAAAATGTGGGCGCCACGCTGGCGTGGTGCTTAAAGTCACAACATTGAAAATGACAAGCAAAGTAAATATATTTATAGATACAAAAATGAAAGCTGTAAGAAGCTGTGAATGGAGGGTCTCAAGTAGATGCAAACTGCCACGGTTCTAAGAAGTTATCATGGAAAGTTTTAGGAGAAAGTGTTTTGTAAATTTTTAATGAATTAGAGAAATCGTGAATATTATTGCCACATTTGTTTTCATTCACAACTTCATGATAAGGGGGATTGAAGTACAGTTTTAGATTTAATAAAACGGGAAAATTGTACTCAAGGTTCAGCTTTTTATATGAGAAGTAGTGTGCGTAGCTTTTCCTCTTCGTGATTTCCTGCTTTTGAGTCTGATTAAAAATACAATTTAGAAATGTTCTAATAGGTTCTCATGGTGTTTTCAAACTCTTCGGTTATTTGCTCTGGCTCCTGAGCCTGCTTATTCATGTTCTGTGTCTGGTGACGTTTCCTTCTTTGTTTATCTTCGCAGAGTGATGCGTGTGTTAGCTCAGCACTAGACGTTGCTGTGGATGCTGTCAGAGATTGTGGGTTTACTTTTGGATTCTTTCAGACTTACGGGAAGGGAAAAGGGAAACAATGTAGGGAATACAGTAGTTTTGCTCTCAGTTCAGTAATCATAGGAGACGGCATGACCTTGAGGTAATTAAAAGCGGCAGCTCGGGCTCTATGCAGATAGTGTCTTCTCCCAGATGCGTTTGGAAAGAAGTTGGCTATGGAATGTTCTTTTTTTGTATCCAACCTCATTGCCCTTGTTTGGTTGTGCGGCTGCGGCTCTGCTCCTGCCCACTGTCCCACCTGGCCCCTCCCCACACAAGCACAGACGTCCAGGCGCTCGGTTCGGTGGTTTCGGACAGGCTTGTCTTTCTTGGAAGTCCTGGCAACCGCGGTCCCTACATCTTCTGACGGCGCCTCAGTCCCCGTCTCCTCTCAGTCTGCTCGTTCCTCACTCTCCCTTCTCCAGCCACACTGACGTCTCTTAGGCCGTGCACCTTGCATCAGCGCATCTTTGTACCTGGAAGTGTACAGTTAATTTATGCTCATCGTCAGACTCAGACCGAGTATCGCTTTCTCAGCAAGTCTTCTAGGCATGCGCTCGAACTGCCGACGCTCACCAGTCTCTTTCCGAACACCTTCACGGCTCTCCTCCTTGTTAACCATACACTTTTGCTGTGTTGTAAATGATCTTTGGATGTGTCTGTTGTTTTCCCTGCTATACTGTGCTTCCCACTAGTTCAGAGCCGCGTCTGTGTGCGCGTCACTCCCTGGGGCCGGCCCTCAGCTAGTGAATGGTGCTTCGCAGGTGTCTCCCGGCCAGCTTAGAATGGGGCCCGCACGCTCCGCTGCGGCGTCTGGTCTTCTGACGCCAGTACCAGTGCTCTGGTCACTGTGTCCGCTGGCGCTAGAGGATGTTCCAGACAAGTGTGATTTATGTTGTGTTGAGGGTTAAATTTGAGTCAGTTTCGTTTTGTGTATTAGTACCGGCAAGTAGTGACGTGACCCATGGTACTGGAGGGAATAGCATCTAAAAATCCTTCTCTTGTTATATGTCATTCTTTTAGAGTTACAGTAATAATAAATTCCTTTTATCAATTAATAATACATTTCTTTTATTTCTTAATGTCTTAGATTTTGACAAAGTACTCATTTTAGTCAGTTTGTGGGTACTGTGAAAACAGTACAATTTAGTAAACTGTTAAATATTTACTATTATTTACATTTGGGGGATGGGAGGCGGGAGGGAACCTCTCACTTCCAGTTGACTGATTCATTGATTCATTCTGCTGTGCGTAACGTGTAGCATAATCGGAATTAAATTCTAGAAACTATTTACTAATTCCCAGTTCACAGCTACAATGATAACTGAAAAGTTTGTATGATGAGGGCTATTCAATTTAGATATGTCATTCTTAATTTCAGGAAAGCTTGTGGCTATTGCAGTTATTGATGAGAAAAATACATCAATTGAACATACCAGGTATAGTGTCTTGAAATAGTTTTAAGCTTCACATACCATCTAACTCAGACTTTACGTGGCGTAAGATAAAATTGATACAGTATCTTACTTTCCCCACAGTATTAGATAAGGCAGCAGATATTGTAATTGAAAAATGATAATATATTTTTGAAGTGAAGAGATGAAATATTCATGTATTCTTTCACAGATTAAAGTCAATAATTCAGGAAGTTGCTAGAGATTACAGAGACCAATTCCACAGGTAGGTGCTTGTGTTCAAGAAGATTATTTTTGTTCAACTATATTTTGTAGTATAGTACAGCAAAAGTGGAACTGTTTTATACTTTAAATCAAGATACTGAAATGAATTACAGTGTGTTGTATTTCAGTATGAATTGTTTGGACTTGCTCTGTCATACAAGTGAAAAAAAACTTTATAACTTGTATCATACTTGCTTCTTGATGGGATCTGGGATACATTTGTTGTTGGGAAATATGTGTAAGTACTCATTCATTTGAGATAAAGTTAAGTGAACAATCACAAGTTAGATATAGACAGATGATGATTATAACAGGAACTCAGACAGTAACCGAACATGAAAAATAGGTGATCTTGTTGCTTTGTGCCAAATCATTCTGTTTGTTGCTGCCATAACATACAGCCTATAAATTTGTTATATTATTTAATTATTTCCTTTTTATTCAGAGCCTCTAATGATTTATCAGTGATCTATATTTATATTTCTCCTGTTACATAGTAGGAGCATCTTCTTATAAGTCCTTTGGTAAACGAATTGGGTTATTTTTCTTAAATATATTTTAGTTAGAAATGCTAATATTGACCTACATTTTAAATATATGGAGTAGAGTAGAAATATCTTAAATTTATTTACTCGTACTCATATGTATTTTATCTCAGAAGCCATTAGAAGGCATACTCTTTTCTGCATTTATGTATGTTAAGTGTTTACATGCTCCAGCCCTCACGTTCAGTTCTTTGTACACATTTACCTCGTTTTGTACCTAATATTGCTCTCTCTCTTTTTCTTTTGGTTATTGTTGTTGGTTAGGGATTTTCAATTTGGCCATATGGATGGAAATGACTATATAAATACCTTGCTGATGGAGTAAGTAAAGTTCTAAATGACTGAGTGATTTTGCTCTCAATTTTGTCAGTTTTAAAATTTATGTTTCTGAGACAGTTTGAAAAGCGTTACTAGCTGGGGGAAAAAGTGAACTTTTCATCTGTGCTGATGCAGATATTCTCCAAGTATTGTACCTTAGTTTTTAAATCTAAATTGGAAACTCACTGAACTTTAGTATTGCTCTGTATTAAAAATGTATCTCTCAATTCCATGTTAAAAATTTATTTCTAAATTCCATGTATTTTGGAAAGAAGACAGCATTCCAAAATTAAAAATCTTGTAGATTCTGTTTAACGCACACCTTACCTTAAGTTCAGTTTCCGTGAGTAAAGGTAATTTAAGTAGGAAGTTTTTACATTTAAGAATTGGCTGCTATATTAGAAGAATTTATTTTAACAGAGTAAAAATAACGTTACAGAGAAAATACACAATTCTAAAATAATTCCATCAGTTATGTTTATGACATAAAAATCTCATTTGCCACTTCAAAAAGTTGTTATTAGAAAACATCATACTTAGAGTAAATTAATTTCAGATAAGAAGCTACTCTATGCAGTAGACATCTAGTATTTACTGTATGTCACACACTGTGTTTGGTACTCTTGATCCAGAAAATGAGTAGAGTCCCTGTCTCCAAATGTTCATAGTCTGATGGGTAAGATAACATAGTATTTGCAAACCTGTACGAAAAGGTCTTTATAGTACAGGGTTCTAGAAATGTACAGGCTCCAACCCACACCCCATTACACACAAAGGCAGAAGGGATCAGAAAATGCTTGTCAGAGGAGGCAGTAATGAAGTTACATGGAAGAAGAATGCGGAGACATTATTTCAGACAGGGCATCAGAGCACACACAAGAGGTGGTAGGAGAATGGAGCTCTGGAGGGTGTGGACCTGAAAACCAGTCCCTGAAGTGAAGATGAGGAAAGCTCACTGGAGACAAGTGACCTTGTCCATCCGGCAGTGTCGAGGTTCCAGTTCAGGTTTAACATGATACTGTGTTTTGGTATTCTCCAGCTTTGCTCAGTAGCAAAGGGGTAGCAGTTGCCTTCATTCATGTTTCAGTGTATTACTCCATTTTACAAGTAAGAACACTGGGGAAATAAAGATGAAACTCACAACCCAAAATAACATTCAGAATTTTTAGTTGAAAGCCTAAAGTTATAAATTAGTGTTACTTTTATTCATTTTTATTTATTATCCCTCTTATTCCAATGAGAATGTGAGACTTTTTACTAGTGATATAAAGTACCAGATATAATATACAATGAAGAAATCAAGACAAAGGAAAATAAAGTAAAGGAGCTATATCATTTTAGGTATTCATCATTTATAGGTAATTACTAAAGTTACTTGAAAATTTTGGCCCTGAATTTTTAATACTCAAAACAAAGTAGAAAAACATTATTTATACATTTCCCATAGCCTATAAAATAACTTTGGGTTATAAGGAGTATGGCAGACCTTGTAGAAAGCTAAGAGAAATTGTTATGCTATAGAAACTCACAGAAGGGGACACTCTATAGTAGAAATATGTTTTTGATAGGGATTTTTACAGTATATATAGTAGGGACTTTGACAGAACCATTTCCTATAATGTTCTTCAAGGCAAGCCAATATTCAATAAATTGTTTGTAAGAGGCTAAAGCAATTTGGGTCCAATAAGCAATTCCTTGATTCAGGGTAATATTCAGAATGTGTACAGATGGGTGGATATTCCTTCATGAGTATGATTATTAATGTGAGTTGTGAGATAGCAGAAATTTTGGGCTACAGTTGTGTTCCGAGAACAATAATCTCTACCTATGCAATCTTGTTGCATTGTGTTGTTTTTTTATTCATATCTTGTTTTTTTTCCTTTTTCAAAAGAAGAGGAAGCACGTGATGATGGTTATGTGATAATAATTGAAAGTCCTTATTGAGCACTTAGTTCTGTGACTGGCACTATAGTGAGTGGTTCAATAGGTGTTTTTTAAGTTTTACAATAACTCAGTGAGGTGTAAGTACTATTATTATTTCCATTTTATATAGATGAGGAAATTGAAATTTAGAAGAAACTCAAGGAAGTTAAATAATATGCCAAAGGAGGCCCAACAAGTAAGTTAAAGAGATCCAGTTCTCAAGTCCACATCTCATTCACTCCAAAGCTCTTCTGTGACATTAATATTGTCAGAGAAATTAGTGGAGTTTAATAAGTATGGATGCCCCAGTATTATTATTATTATTTTTAAAGATTTTATTTATTTGACAGAATAGACAGAGATCACAAATAGGCAGAGAGGCAGGCAGAGAGAGAGGAGGAAGCAGGCTCCCTGCTGAGCAGAGAGCCCGATGCGGGGCTCGATCCCAGGACCCTGAGATCATGACCTGAGCCGAAGGCAGAGGCTTTAACCCACTGAGCCTCCCAGGCGCCCCTACCCAAGTATTTTTAACTTAGGACAAATACATGATACCGTGTAAGATAGTTATACAACAGCACTGACTATGTTTTACATTGTCTCAAAATAAGTAGGGTATGGTCAGACTCTAAATCTGTTAAATTGTTTTGTTTGGGGTTTTTGTGAATGTAATTAAGAGGGAATAGGATGAAATGATGTTCAAATCAAATCGAATTATTCAAATTGAATTATTTCACAACACATAGTTTCTAGTTCCACTGTGTATTTAACTTTTTTTTAATAATATATGTTTTCATAGACTAAGTTCTGATCCATTCTGTTAGAATAGAACTTTCTGCTACTTATGCATTATTACAACTAATAACTAAACTGCTATAAATCAGAAAGTTGTCTTATGTATATTTTATGAAGCGAGAGTGAAGCTAAGATTTTTTTTTATTTTAATTCTGCGGTCAGCTATGGCCTGATGATAGCAGGTGATCTGCTGGCCTGATACCCAGCGACTTCAAGCTATGGTATGTGCTCTCTCTCACGTACCTGGGCTTGGCTGATGGTGACTGGGCACAGACACAGGTGGCTCCAAACTGCCACTGAGGTTCTGAGGTTCAGGTCTGCACAGTCTTGCATGTCCTGACCCTGGCAGGCTATTTCCTGGGGGGTGGGGGGGCGCGGGGCGGAGTCGTGCGGCCATCACGGGAACTCAGGAAGACAAGCCTGTCCATGCACACACTCTTCAAGCCTCTGTTAACCTGCCCCTTGGCCAAGTCACGTGGCTGAGCCCAACATCAGGGTCCCATGAGCGTGTTTTGCCTAACTGGGAAAAGGGGATTGTGTGGTGAGGGTAGAGAATCAGAGCCACGTTACTTGTGTGGCGATTATACTGCAGTGTGAATTGCTTCTACTGTAAAGTTTTGTACTTTCGCATAATTTTCATAGAGACATACCAATAACCACAAACCCACGTGCAGATGACATACAGAATCAAGCACCTTCCTCCTTTTATGATTATGCAACAACCTATCCTTGAAAGGAGAAAAATGATTTCAATGAAATGGCACTGAAGTATTTTCTAGTACTACTAGTAACATTTTCTTTTAGTAACATTTTCTAGTAACATTTTCTTTTTGCAAACTGATGTTTGTGAATCCGGGAAGCACTTCCTGAGGCTGGGGCAGAATACGTAGGGGGATAGTAGTTCAGAGAATTTGGAAGAGTATTTACTGAACACAGGGTAATGTGCTGAATATCTAACTTGCGTTTTCTCACATAATTTTTACAACCCTCCCACTACTCACCTCTACCCATTGATACGTGAAAAGCATTAGGCTTAGAAAAATGGATTGTGCATAATAAGTTTTAGCTTAATCACAAATACTCAACTGTCCGATATCATATATTGGAATGTTTCCTTTCACTTTTTTTTTTTTTTCCCTAAGAAAACAAGTGGGAGGGTGGGAGGAGGGGCAAAGGGAGAAAATCTCAAGCAGTGTCACCTCTGAGGGTGGTGCCAGTCCAGGGCTCGGTCTTAACCACCCTGAGATCAAGACCTAAGCTGAATTCGAGAGTCAAATGCTTAACCGGCTGAGCCACCCAGATGCCCTAAAATGTTTTCCATAATTTAGCTATTTTTTTTAAATGCACAATTTGAAATTTTCTTCTTTTAAGCATAGGGAGGCAAAGCTATTCAGCTTCCTTCTTTTGTGATTATAGTTACTTAGACATGATATAAATGAATATCAGAATATTTGTTATCTCTGTGTTTAATGTGTATTTTGGTTTCTTTGTTTTTCTGTTTTCAGTGAATTGAAAGTCCCAACTGTGGTTGTACTGAATACTTCAAACCAACAATACTTTTTACTAGACAGACAGATCAAAAATGCTGAGGACATGGTGCAGTTCATTAATAACATCTTGGACGGCACAGTAGAGGTGAGTCCTTTGCTCCCAATTCAAAGGGACTTCCTGAAAGGAGGACGTCAAGGAGAAACAAGCTCTCTTCTCTTCCTCTGATTCTGAAAGGAAGAGTCATCCCCTGGGGTGAGGGGCAGTCCTCCCCACCTGGCTTCTCACATCACAGAGCCACATTCTCAGACACATAGAAGGTTCTTCTGTGGAAGAAGCTTGCTCATGGGTGGAAATGCCTCTTTTACGGTTGTGTGGAAGACGCTTTTGGTTGTAACAGTGAGTGGGAGGTGCTCTTGCCATTTGGAGTTGGACCGTGGACACTGAGAGGTCTGCAGGGTTCAGAGCTATCCCAGTATTAAACCTTCCTGGCCCTTAACCTTTCTGGGTTCAAGAGGCTAATTGGATTAAGTTACTCAGATTGCTTCTCCAAGAAAACCTGTGAATAAGACTGAAATGTGCTGAGAATCAGAGCCTCCGTGGAGAGTTCCAAATCCAATCATATAAAATATTTCTCAGAAATAATGAATGGAGAAAGGATAAATACCTACCATTTATATCAATGTGGATGGAACTGGAAGGTTTAATGTTCAGTGAAATAAGGCAGAGAAAGACAATTACCATATGGTTTCACTCATATGTGGAACCTAAGAAATAGTGCAGAGGACCACAGGGCAAGGGAGGGAAAACTGAATGGGAAGAAATCAGAGGGAGACAAACCATGAGACAGTCTTGACTCCCGGAAACAAACAGGGTTACAGAAGGCGGGGAGGGGGTGATGGGGTAAGTGGTGGATGGGCATTAAGGAGAGCACGTGATGAGATGACCACTGGGTGTTATATGTGACTAATGAATTATTGAACATTACATCCATAACTAGTCATATACTATCTGTTGGCTAATTGAATTTAAAAAAGAAATCTGAACGGACAGTTTGAATTTTCCATTATTTCTATAAATCTTACTGCAGTGTCATTCAGACTGTGGGTTGCAGTCCACATTACAGGGCCATGAAGTTACTTCAGCACACTGACCAGCAAGCATCTTATTTCAACAGACTAGAATAAAATAGAAAAAATATGTGACTTCTAGGCTCTTATTAAAGTTTTGTTCAGGCTTTACAAACTTTATTTGAAAGTTGACTCACAGGATAACAAGCATTTTTTTTGGGGGGGGAACAATCGCTGAGTGGGCATTTCATATTTGTGAAAATAATACTTGTTGAAATGAAACTCACCTCTATGTGGGAGAAGTCCTCTAGTATAAGTTAGTGAAATCCAATTCAAACTGTTTGATAACAAAGACAGCCTCACATAGTTTGGAAATTTGAGTTATGAGCCAGACTTCAGGGATGGCCAAATGCAGAGATTTGATCGATTTTCATCAGGAATTTTTCTCTGCCTTTCAGCACTTTTGGATGAGGTGGGTGTGGGGCGTGGGGGCTTCATTCTTAGGGAGACACAATAGCAAAGATACCTGTAGCAACCTCAGTTTAACAGCTCACCTGAACCCTGGCAGTGAGGCAGGCCTGGGCTGCTGGGTCAGCGTCAGCCAGGCTGCCTGGAGCGTGACGGGGAGACTGATTCAGAAGAGCATCACAGTGTGTTCCCACAAGAAAGCAGATGAAGCTGAGGCAGGAAAAAAAAAAAAAAAAAAGTAAAGTACTGCATAGCTCTTGCGAGTGCTTTTTGTAATCTCATAGGGTCAACCCTTGACCTGCAGTTATAACATTAGAGAACAGAAAAATGAAGTCATGGTACTTAAATAACAATTTAATTGTTGTTTTTTTTTTGTTTTTTCCTGTTAAACTTAAGGCCCAAGGAGGTGACAGCATTTTGCAGAGACTGAAAAGAATAGTATTTGATGCCAAATCTACTATTGTGGTGAGTTGTGACAGTCTGCTTAGTGTCACTGATAATTGAGAATAGGTAGGTGTATAATTGCTTTATGTCTAATGAAGGCAAAATCTGAAATTTTAAAGGATTACATAAAAGTGCATCTTTAATTTAAAAGATAAGAACTAGTCTGTAGTTATATTAAGAAAATATATTCTTCAGGTGGAAATTAAGTTTCTCTAATGACTCATTTCTGTGTGATTGGTGAGTTAACTGGCATTCAGAATCGTTACCTCGGTGACATGGCTTCAGAGTGTTTTCCAGACTCTCTTCTCTTTCTGCCCTTTTCAGTCGCTAGATCTGAATCCGCTTCAACTCTCAGTCAGCTTCACAGCACAGGCATTCCTAAATTTGTTTGAGCTTTAGACAACTTTCGTTCTACTTCTCTTCTTGAGCTACTGATTCCATGGATGTTTCGTTAAGGCCAAAAGCAGTCATCAAAGTAGGAATCCTCCGGATCGGCTCTCACGACACTGTACCTCGCGCTGCTCTAACTTCCACATGGTTTCTTCACTTGCTGTTACCCCGCCTCCCGTTCATTCATGTACCACTACACAATGAAGACGACGAAAATAGTCCACTGTGATCACTGTCCTTCCCTTTTCCAGTGACACATGTGAGAACACTCTCTCCATCTCACATGGTCTCATTATTTGTTGACTGTTGCGGAAGCGTCCCTGGAGCTTCTCGCTAGTGCTCACACCGCCTCATTCTTACTGATGCTCAGATTTCTGCCTCAGAACACCCATATTCTGGGAAGTCTTCTTCTGTTACCTCAGTCCAGAGTGACCTTGCCATCCTCTGAGTGTGCCTGTGTAGCCTCGAGTTACAGTCATAAGCTATAGAGGACAGTAGAGTTGAAAAACCTGTACAGCAAAATTCCTTTCACTTTTCTGAGAACTAAGGAGATTGTGTATAAACTGAGGGAGATTATTAAGTTAACGTGACTTTACTGCTAACCAGCAAGTAAATATTTAAAATGTCATGTGGAGAAATGGGTATATACCATCTTTATGGTAAATGACCAGCCTTCTCAATGGGCAGATTCCTGGAGTCCAGGATACAGCTCCAGAGCTGTTGGCACATAGTTGCCAGAGATCTTTGTGGCTAATAGATTCATGTGAGCTTATAAAATATTCGGTGCCTTTTGCTGCTGCAGGTACCTGGTTACACACACACACACACACACACACACACGTGTAAAATTTCTGCCTCTTACATTGTCTTTAACATGTAGTGCTGAAGAAATATTGACATTGATTCATTAGAACTAAGAGCAAGTTGAGTGGTAGCAAGAAGAGGAAATTTGCAGAGGTTTTAAAATTGTTCATGTATTTTATCCCGGAAGACATAGGAGGAGAACTGAGTTGTGATTATCTTCCCACAGTCTATCTTCAAGAGCTCTCCGCTTATGGGCTGCTTTCTCTTTGGCCTTCCGCTGGGTGTCATCAGTATCATGTGCTACGGCATCTACACAGCTGACACAGACGGAGGCTACATCGAAGAGCGATACGAAGTGTCCAGAAGTGAAAGTGAAAGCCAAGAACCAACAGAAGAAAGCAAAGAACAGGAGCCAAGGAGCGGAGATGCCCTAGTGCCTACAGTGCAAGGACCCAAAGATGTATTAGAGAAGAAGAAAGATTGAGACTTTGCTAGTATAGAATATTTGATAGGATTTCAAATTATTAAAGAGCCTATTTATTGAATTTAGACATTTAACCATGATCTTTACAAAAGAGAATATGTTATTTGTATTTTGCTAATATCCACTTGCATGGGTTAAAGTAGTCCTTCATAAGCAGGGAAATGTTTGGAGCAAAGAGAGGATATGTTTGTCCTGAAAAAAAATCCAGACGCCCCATCAGAATTCACCTTCTAGATGTTATAGCAGATCAGTTCTTTTGCATGTTTCTCTATCTGAATATTCTGTGACACAATTAAGATTCTTGGGCAGAATATTTAAATTGGTCAGTCAGGTAGAAGATACATGTTGGATAAAGAAAAGCAATACCTTCACCCCGCACCATTCATTCTCCTCGTGTTTTAGATAAGATTTACATGGGCAAAATTAAATCTTTAAAATTTAGGCACTTTAAGGAGAACAAACAACTTTTTCCATGGATGAAATTAAGATTATGACTTAAAAGTAATTTGGTTTTATATAGCATAGCAATTTTATTTTTAGTTACTACTTTAACGGAGAGGAAATGTTCCTTTTTAACTTTATACTCAAGTTACATTATGAAAATTTCATATAGATCTGTACAGTGGGAAAAATAGTCTTATGTCTGATCTTTGCAAAATGAGTGAATTTGATTGGAACACTGATTTTAAACCACGCCCTGGGACATGCTTAGCAGGTGTTTCAGTGGTTGCTGTAGGAAGGGGAGGGTCTCTGTTTTATATTGGAGTTTCTTGTAAAAATTCTCTCTGAGAAAAAGCTCCTACTACTTTTTAAAAAGTAATATATATCAGACTTTTTGTTTATGTTGACTTTGTGGTAATTTATGATATGTGTGTATCTGTGTGTATATACACACACGCGCACAATATATTTACGTAAACATAGATAAAATTTATTGACATATGTCTATTATGTAATATTATGGGCATGTGTATGTTCATAATGAGTAATGAGTGACATAATCAGCCTGTCAACAAATTTATGACAACCCAGTGACTTAAGAGATCTGCCAGTTACCTTCTCTGTCCTGTCAGTTCTGACTCCCACTTCAGCCAGTGACCTCTCTTCTCTATAAGGATTTAACACAGCAGTTCTATCCTGAATAATGGATAAAAATTGGCATTGTTTTAAGCAACATTATGGTGTGTTTATTACGGATTATTTTTTAAGCCCTTCATTTGAGCTAAGTTTAGGATTTTTACTAGGTGACCGTTGTTTGGGTGATGATTAGAATGGTTTTTATTAAAGACTGAAATGGTTAATCACTTTAAAAATATGCAACTCATGGTCCTGATCCAGAAGGTGCTTGGACTTCGGTCCTCAAGGCAGCTGCTGGTTGTCTCTGATGCCACGCCAGTCACAGCTGACCTGAAACTGGTATCTGAGTACTGAGAAGTTACTAGCAATTGTTTTGTTGTACCCATGTGCTCTTGTAGCATATCATAATCAAATGCCATTAATTTAACAAGTAGATTCCTCTCCAGAGAGTAATGAGGGGTTCTTTCGGAGAATAAATGCTAATGTTCCCAGTGGTCAGGCTTGTTTTGCAGCAGTGAAAAAAACTTCGGTGAGTACAGTGCCTCACTGGAGTCTAATCCAGTTAAGGAAGGTAAAGCCAGTCTCCACCAGGGACAGTAGAAAATTACAGAAAATGTCACGGTTTTCTTTTTCATGTTTATCATTATCAGATGTCCATTGTCTGCACATCTTTGGCCTTTGTCAGGCATCACTTACAGATGAAAGACATCAGTAGAGAAAGAAAAAAAAGTGAAAGCTCAGCATGTCTCAAACGGAAGTCCAGCCACCTTGGTGTTCTGAGAGTTGCCTGTCAGTGAGTTAACGTCTTAGTTCTCTGTTACCTTTTTCACAGCTATGTTGCCCCAAATTCTGTTCGTGTTTCCAAAGTGTGTCTGTTAGGAAACAAAATGTGTACATGGTTTGTAAATGCACAATTTTCTTTCTTTTTGCATTAGAATTTTGCTTTTTATTTGTTTCTACTTTAGATATTATCAGACTTCTCACAACACAAATTTAAAAGTTTTGTTCACTAGTAGGCCTTTGCCTTTAATTTGGTATCTGCACTTAACTAGGAATGCAATTTTAAAGGAAATATTACTCCCAAATAAAGTTAATTTCTTAATGAATCTAGTAGTAGAATATAGATATCCTGTGATATCTAGATATCAGTGGTGAGTCATCTTACATTAATGAGAATATCCTTGAGTAAGTTGGAGTTTTGCCTTTTCTTTCAGTTGCAATAAAATTCTATTTCTAAATCCTAAAAATTCAGAATCCTAGATGGCTTGCTGTTGCTGAAGCTAGTGCTCAGACAATATTATATGTAGGAGAAAGAAAGTATGTGTGTTTATCAAGCTTTGCATCCCATTATAGCTTGCAACCTTTTTTGTTTTCTTCATCATACACATTAATATTTCTCTACTTTATCTGAAACTTATTTGAGGTGTATTAGACCTGAAGTTGTACTTTCTTCCTCTCCCCTAGTGCTTCCCGGGTATCTGACTTAGAAATAGCACTAAGAGCCAAATGTCTAGAGGTTGATGGAAACTATGTGAGTAGTTAAACAACTATATTATTTTTGTATAGTGGATTTTTGTTGATGTTATTTGTGTTTTGCTTCAGGGGCTTTTTTGGTTTGGGTTTGCCAAAAAGCAATTTACATATTTTCATCATTGTTTCATGAGGTATGGAGGTAGGACAGGGAAAACTACTTAGCTATTCTTATTATGCAGACATTGTTCAAATAAACCAGTGTGGGATATTAAGACTATCAATTGGTGGGATTAGGTTTGCCATTTTATTTTTATAAATATATATTTTTTCTGAATGTGTCTGAGTCCAAGAGTGGGCAAAAAAATAATTTTCTACTTTGGACTAAATCTATAAAGGTTTTTGAAAGTCTGTATTACTAACTTGTTGAATTCATGAAATCTTGCCTTAAGGCACCAATTGTAAACCTTTGATTTTCTAAAATAAATTAATTGAAAACAGTTTATTATTTTTACTATTTATGTTTTGTTTTCAACACTAATAGTTCCTTGTACAAGCAGAGGACAGCTAAGACTGATTTCCAACAAATTATTTTTCCTTTTATTAAACTGTAAGCTATTTGTCATTATAGAAACATATAATGTGTTTAAACAGGTGAGAAAGATCCGAGTGTTATCTAATTCTCTTATAGATGAAGAACCTGAGATTCTTAGGTTATATACATTTTTTTATTTGTAAAATCAGATTATTTTTAAACATCAATTTCAGGGTTTAGAGTTGGACTAATTGGACTTGAGTCTGTGATCAGCGGCTACAGTGGTTATCTTGGACACAACACATCCTCCCGTCCTTTTCATTGTCAGTAAAATGGGAATTTAAAGCCTCAAGATATTCTTTTTTTAAAATAGCATCAAATGGGGAGAGTATATTATGAAAAAAGTTTGTACAGATACTATTTTCAGTAATCGATTTTTCATATGTTATGCTATGAACAGTTTGGTTTTTTTTTTAAAGATTTTTTATTATTTATTTGATAGAGAGCAAGTGAGAGCATGAGCAGGGGGAGGGTCACAGAGGGAGAAGCAGACTCCCCACTGAGCAGGGATCCCAATGCCGGACTTGATCCCAGGACCCCAGGATCATGACCTGAGCTGAAGGCAGATGCTTAACTGAAAGAGCCACCCAGGTGCCCGAACCTGAGCACAATTTTTTAGTGAGAATTGCTCTGGCACTGGAACAACAGCCCAGAAACCGGCTGTCCCCAACATGGGAATACTACAGACTAGCTGCTCATCAGGAGCGTCCCTGCTCAGAGTGACCGAATGTGTCCACTACGTGAATTCCCTGGGTGGTGACAGGCTCCCACGTCGCTGCCAAGAGGCTGGACTATGTTGTGAGTGTTGAGGCCCTGCTGTCAGTGACTAGATTCCAGTCCTGACTCCGTCACCCCTGTGCAGAGTTGGGAAGATGTCCAACCCCCCTGCTCCTGGGCTGATTGTAGGTGAATGGAACCCATCTCACCGGATTATGAGATTGAATGAGTTACACACGAGGCATGTTTAGAACATGGCTGGCACATGAAAACAGCTCAAATTATAACATGTATGTATCCAATTTATTTCTCATCTTACCCCTTTCAGAATTTATATCGTCATTTACCACAGAGAAAAGCCAAGACTTTGAGAATATGAAATGCTCATATGTTTAAATTTGCTTGGCTTCTTTTTGTAATTCAAGCTCTAACATTTTGGATAGACATGAAAAGGACTTGATATTTCTTTCACATTGAAATTAAATATAATTGCAAATATTTAAGTTTAAAACATCTCCAAAAATCCTTTAGGTTTTGTGCTTTCAGTGAAAATGAATATGCATAAGAGGATACAAGTATCCAGTGGGATTGTCGGCATATGTCTATAGTTTAGACAGATATTAATGTTATCTGAACACAGATTTAGAATATTAATGGATATTGGATATAGATGATTTGATTTTCCAACAAGCCGTCCTGGACAATAGTCTTCAGCCCTCAGCTTTCCTTTAAGTCCATCTCCCTATGAACTGAAAAGGGGTTTTCAACAACTAGTAAAAAAGTGGCAGTTTTCTAGCAATTTATAAGTAGTAAAGGACGGCTATAACGTAGCCTCAGAATATGCTCAGTTCCAAGATTTCTACTTTTCTGTTTGCCTTAGTTTTCCTGTTCATATAGCCGGTTGCTCAACACAAAATCCTTGCTCTTAGGATCTTCAGCATCTCCGGGACTCTGGGTGAGAGACCCGGGCCGACCTGAGCACAACAGCCTTCAACTAGAGGAAGGCGCTGCGTTTCCACGGTGTGTCTGCGGCTCCGCCGGTCCCGGAGGTGGAGAGAAGGGGTGTGGGAGGCAGTGCACGGGAAGGGACCTTCCCAGAAGACTCTCCAGAGACAGAAAGGGCTTTCCCGGGCTTCAGAGAACCCACACGGGAAAGACTGTCGCGTGAGCTGGACAGCCCTCTGTTCCCGAGTTTCCTTCCGGCGCTCAAACTCTGAGGCGGTCAGTGTACGCGCTGAGGACCCCTCTGTGTGGTTTTACAATAGTTCCTTCTCTTTCCGGCAAAAAAATTTTAAAAACTAAAATTGGCCAATTTCAGTATGTTAAGTATAATAAATTTCAGTTGCGTGGAGGAAGCAGTCCAGTGAAACGGCGGCATAGGAGGCGTGGCCGAGGACGTTCCGCCGGTGCGCGCTCCACGCGGCCGCGCCGCCGTCCACCGGCGCTCGCTTGCGGGTTTCCTTACGGAAGTGGTTTCCTTCCGTCGCAGCTGGATGACGTTCCAGGTTCTCAGCAGGGCTGATGCTGATCCGTAGAAATTCTATTCCAAACCGTAAGAACCCAGTCAAAACACAGTAAATACTTAGATTTTAAAGACTCATACAGTGACTTTTAATAGTAAAAATTTTGAGGTTGTACACGCAGAAATAATCTGTGTAAATAAATTGGTGTTAAAATCCTCTGTCTCCTTTTTTTAATTTTTAAACTGATTGTCAAAGGAACTTGATGGGATTCTGAATTGGCATAATTGAGATTTTAAGATCCTATGTCTTCTCCAAGCAATGCTTCATGTTCTAAATCCAACAACTGAAAGACTGACTTAATCTGAAAGATTTTTGTTAGGTAGAAGGTGACTCTTTGCAAGGGATAATTTTGGAAGGAGTAAAAGATTCACTTTATATTTGGATATAGGTTAGTTCACATTTTTCATGAAAGACTAATTAGGTAGTTTAGTTTCCAAGATTATGATATAAACCTCTCGTGCCCAAATGACCACACTTGATACAATCTATTCTCAGTTGTAGAAAGTATAATCTCGAAATCTGAGTTGCTGGCCTTCAAAATAATGTGTTACTTCCCCCACTGCCCCCTCTGGTCCTTGTAAATACAGCCATTCAGTTAATGTGTGAAACATAATAATAACTTTCACAGGGGCCAAACAACCTCTAGCAAGATATGATGAGAATTTTTGTTTCCAAATAGATCCACCGCTATTTATGAAATTATTAGATATTCCTCAGATATATTATGGAGAAGAGTCATTGGTACTTTTTTTTTATATTTACAATATGACATATATAGTTTAAAAGAGCCTTGAGGTAAACTAAGGTTGAGATCTCAGTAGAATTGCTTGATAATTGTTTACATCTAAAAAATGACTTCACTTTTATTACTCATTTTGTTAGCAGAGTCAAAATGGGACGGGAGGAGGGAGGTCGTGATGTGTTCACCATTCCCTTCTAAGCAGTGTTCCGCGTATGTGCGTACAAAGGCTGAAGTGTTACAGGACTTGGTAGAAAAATGTCAGGCTATTAGGGCATGTTACTACTCCTGTGCGTCTTCAGGAAGGTCCTTACAAGAATAAGAAAGCTGGAAGGGAGCGTGCTCCTTTGCAAAGAGAACCATCTGCCTGGGCTCAACACTAAATATGATGGACATAACCCTTTTCACTTAACAAAAGGCAAATTCCTTCCTCCAAGCTTAATTTAATTTAAGGATCACTTTCATATGTTGGGGAACAGTAGATCAATTAGAGTCTCCTGACCACATAACTTACTAGACTGCCAAGTGATGATCTAGCTAACTACCTGGTAAAATAAGGTATTTGTAGGAAGTAGTAATTGCCATGTATTTAGATATTCTTATATAAATTTCTGTGGGAAAAAGAATTTCAATAAATTGTCCTGACTCAATCGCCTCTCCCTATGGGAAAAAGTAAATGTTGATCCCTACCTATATACCATACACAAAAATTAATTCAAGATAGATCATAAACCTAAATATAGAAAATATAGAAAAATAAAATAATTTTCTTATAGAAAATCTTCATGGCCTTTGATAGAGAACAAAGAGGACACAAATAACAGAACCCTAAAAAAATCAATTGAATTGTATTA